GGCGCTCATGGTGCCCTGGCTGAGCAGCCCTTTGGCACCAGGCTGGGGCGGACGCTGGGACCCCAGCCCAACGAGGCCCTACGCCTCCCTTCTGTGTCTGCTAAGTGGGGAGCCCTGCTCTCCATTCTCAGCTCACCTGAGGTCAGCTACTTCTCTCCAGTTGGGCCTTGAGGTTTAGCAGTCTGAGTGAATCAAGAACAAGAACAAAAAGGGCAGAAAGCTTGGACCCAGACCATGATGGCACATCCAGGCTCTCAATAGCTCATGATTCATGGTGTTGTCCTTTTTGCTTGGCCTGCCAGGAAGCTCAGGGCTAAAATTATGGATCTTGTATAGTAGCTAGTGTTGGCTGAGGGATTTTGAAATATTTTCTTTCTCCATGTCCTTTAAAATTCCACTTCTGTTAATAATGAGCAAATCAAATGTGCCTTTTATTTTACTCTTCCTCACATTCTCAGAATAAGTTTAAAAGGTAGAATTCACCCACCATCCCTCCAGGACACAGCCCCACTCAAACCTTCTGCTCTCCTTGGGGGAGGGAGCCAGCCCGGCTCCGAGGCTTACTGAGAGGCCTTGCTGTGTAGCCTGAATCCTGAGCACACAGGGCAGTGGGGTGCCACAGGAGGTGGGGGATGGGAGCAGAGAGAACAGCTCTGGAACCCAAGAGTTTGTCAGCGATGGCCGACCTGGCCTCAGTTTCCCCTATGCCTCCACTGAGCTAAATGGTAGGGCCAAAAGGACTTCCGAGCATCATGAGGGAGCCCCCAGGCCAGGTGGACTCCCAAGGATGAGCAGGGCAGGGACTCCCCAGGGCTTCCAGCCTGGGCTTCAGGCTGGCTTTGGCCCGTGGCACCACTGCCTGCCAGGAGCCCTGCGGTTGGAAGCGGTTAGAAGTGGCTGTGGATTGGGGTCCGTGCCAGGATCACCAGCTCTGCTGGCGGCAGGAGCCTCACCGCCATTGCCTGGCCTGGTGGGCAAGGGGCAGACGTGGAGCTGGCCACGCCAGCCTGCGGGAACCACGGCCTGGGCACGGCTAGCCCCTCCATGTCACCCTCCCTGCTGCTGGGCCCAGCGGGGACTCATGGGACTGGGCTGGGCCTCTGCCCCCCTCTGGCTGCTCTGGGGACCCCGTGGGTACAGGCCTTGCCAACCGGCTGCGACTCAGTGGGGCGGGCAGCAAGGTGTCTATGTGGGGTGGGCTCCGGCATCCGAAGTGCCACCTTCCCCACTGTCCCCTGCATCTCCACCCAGCCCTCCTCTCCTGCTCGCCTGCCCCACAGACCCTGTCAGAGCTGGGAGGACGGGGCCTGTGGTTTTGGCTGTGGAGAGGCTCTGTGGAGTGCTGACACTGCAGCTGATTCTGAGGAAGAGCCAGCAAATTGGGGAATGGGGGTGACCTGGTGCGGGGCGGGCACCGGACAGGCGTCTGGCCACACAGGAACCCGGCTGAGCAGAACTGCTGGTGTGCGGCAAGGGTCCACTCACAGAACAGCAGGTTGACAACAGCGGGCTGGCGGGGGGGGGGGGGGGGGGGGGCAGACCGGCACAACTTGTGGACAGAGGGGAGTGTGGCTGCCCTTTGACCCACAGCCACCTGCAGTGCCACCAAGCCCACAGGGCCTGTCACAAAGGGGCCACCTCTGAGGTGGAGGTTGCCACAGGGCCCTGCCGCCCTTGGGCCAAGAATGGTCTTCAGGGCACTCATGCCCATTCCTAGGGACCGGGGGTGTGGCATGTCTGGAATGGGGATCTTTGCAGGATGTCGGTAGGGAGCTTGAGGTGAGGAGTCACCATCGTGGGAAGGCCGCATTGATGCAGGCAGGAGGAGAGCCACGTGGAGACGGAGAAGGAAGTGGAGGGACTATGCCGCAGGCCCAGGACGGCGGGCGGCCCGGCGCTGGAAGGGGCAGGAAGGGGTCTCCCCGGGAAGGACGCTGCCGCAGGCCCAGGACGGCGGGCGGCCCGGCGCTGGAAGGGGCAGGAAGGGGTCTCCCCGGGAAGGGGCAGGGCAGCTGCACTTCACACTCAGACTCTTGTAGCCAGGACTGTGGGCGTGAACTAGAGCCCACCAGGTGTGCTAACGGGCACTGGCAGCCCGAGGAAATGCACACGGGTGTGACGCACTCTGCCCAGTGCTGTGGAAACGGAGCTGAGCACCCAGGCTGCAGGAGCTGGGGTCCGGGACCCTGCCCGGCTGTGGGGCCTGCAGGAGGAAGCCAAGAACTACAAGGGTGTGCTCCCCACTGCTCCAACTTGCCCAGAAGCTGGCAGCTAGAGAGCCTCAAAGATGTGGTCCATGAGCCAGCCCTGGGACACAGATGGGAGAGGAGTGGGGAAGAGAGAGAACATCCCAGAAATAAAACAGGGGCTGGGAAGGTGGCCTAGTGGTAGAGCGCATGCCTTGCATGCCTGAGGCCCTGGGTTCGATTCCTCAGCACCACATAAGCAAAAAGAAAAAAAGCCAGAAGTGGTGCTGTGGCTCAAGTGGTAGAGCGCTAGCCTTGAGCTGAAGAGCTGAGGGACAGCGCCCAGGCCCAGAGTTCAGGCCCCACAACTAGACTCCCCCCCCAAAAAATGGAGCGGGGCACCGGTGGCTCACAGCTGTCATCCCAGCTACTCAGGAGGCTGAGATCTGAGGATCATGGTTCAAAGCCAGCCCAGGCAGGAAAGTCCGTGAGACTCTTACTTCCAATAAACCACCCAGAAAACCAGAAGTGGCGCTGTGGCTCAAGTGGTAGAGTGCTGGCCTTCAGCTGAAGAGCTCAAGGCCAGCGCCCAGACCCAGAGTTCAAGCCCCACAACCAAACACAACAAAACCAAAAGCTGCTGGATGGCAGGTACAGGCCCAGGGGAGATGGTCTTGTGTGGCCATTACCTGAGGGGGTTGGACTATCCCTCTTGGGCTGCAGTCTGGAGGGACCTGGGCTTGGCCCTTGCCCAGCTCCCACGGCCCCAGGACCTGCCCAGCATAGGGCAGAGGTGCTGAGCTGGCAGGGGGATCCCTGGGGGACCCTGAGCCAGCCAGACACGCCCAGTCTGTGGCAGCGCAGGTGAGCTCTGCTCATGCTGAGCTGGGGGGGACAGGGGGTGTCTGTGGTCCACTTTCTTGACGACCAAATCCAGGCTCCAAAGCCACAGGCTGGGTCAGGAGTAAGCACCAGCCTAGGCTGCGCCTTCCTCGCTCCTCCAGGAGTCCCTGGACTCCCTCCTTGCCTGAAAACGAGACAGGATATGTTAGCCCCGCGCAGTGGACCCGCGCAGTCCCAGAGCGTTCTCCAGGATGGCACCTGCCTTCACCCGCCGGCGGGGGACCTCGGCTGGGCGCTTCCTGGACCTGGACCGTCAGCCCCGCCCTCCCCATGGCGATCGATCCTGCCCATCCTGCGTCCCCCAGGCCCTGCTGGCACCTCCCCACATGGCTCCCTCCCTGGGCAGTGTCCCCTCACCCCCACTTCCATCCTGAGGCTCAATGAGCAGCCACCTCCAAACGCTCTCCATCCGGGAGTGGGGGAAAGATACGGGAGCCCTGTCCTCTGAGGGGCTCTCCCTCCCTCTCCCTCCCTGCCTCTCACAGCTCATGTCCCCCGCCTCTCACACCTCATGTCTGTCTTCTGGGACAGGTCAGGTTCCCTTCCTGCTGAGGGCTGCTCACTCCCACACCCTGCTTCCCAAGAGGATGCTTGGTGATCCTGCCCCCCCCCTCCCGCTGACCCCCCCACAGGTCCCCCGCTGATCCTCCCAGGTCCCCTGCTGACCCCTCCAGGTCCCCCGCTGACCCCCAGGTCTCCCGCTGACCCCCCCCAGGTCCCCCGCTGACCCCCAGGTCCCCCGCTGACCCCCCCAGGTCCCCCGCTGACCCCCCCAGGTCCTCCCGCTGACCCCCCAGGTCCTCCCGCTGACCCCCCCAGGTCCTCCCGCTGACCCCTCCAGGTCCTCCCGCTGACCCCCCAGGTCCTCCCGCTGACCCCCCCAGGTCCTCCCGCTGACCCCTCCAGGTCCTCCCGCTGATCCCCCCAGGTCCTCCCGCTGACCCCCCCAGGTCCTCCCGCTGACCCCTCCAGGTCCTCCCGCTGATCCCCCCAGGTCCTCCCGCTGACCCCTCCCAGGTCCTCCCGCTGACCCCCCAGGTCCCCCGCTGACCCCCCCAGGTCCTCCCGCTGACCCCCCCACAGGTGCCCCGCTGACCCCCCAGGTCCTCCCGCTGACCCCTCCAGGTCCCCCGCTGACCCCTCCAGCGCAGCCCCAGCCAGCCCAGCGGGATAAGAGGTAGGGAGGGGCCGGCCTCGCCCCCGCCGGCCCGGGTCCCACGCCCTCCGGGTCCGCGCCCGCCCCCGCTCGGCCGCCCCTGGCCCCGCCCCCGACCGCCCCGGAGGGCGTGGCCTGGGCGTGGCCGCCGCGGCCCGTCCCCCCCGGCTGCGGAGCGCCCGGCGGCCCCAGACCAGTGCGCGGCGGCGGCGGCAGCGGCAGCGGCGGCGGCGCGGGCGGCGGGCGGCGCGCGGTCCGGGGCGGGCGCTCGGGCGGGCGCACGGCCGCGGGGACGGGGCGGACAGCGGGCGGGCGGGCCGCGGCGGGCGCCGCGCGTGGGGAGCCGGGCCAGGTGGGTGCGAGGGGCGCGGCGGGCGCGGCGGGCTCGACCCGAGCGGGGGCCGGGCGCGGGTTTCCCTTTCGGGAGAGTTCGCCGCCGACGCCCCGCGAGGGCTCGGCGCCGCCGGGGAGGGCCCGCGGCGGGGCGGGGGCGGCCGGCGCCAGGCGGCCCGGGAGCCCGGGGCGGCGGCGGGCGGGCGGGCGGGGCGCCCGGGGGCCGGGGCCGGGGTCGGGCCGCGCGCCCCGCTCGGCGGCCCCGGTAACGCCGGCCCCTCCCGCAGACGCCGCGCTGGGCCGCGGGGCGGCATGCCCGCGCGCGTCGCCTGAGGACGCCGCGGCCCGCGCCGGCCATGGGCGCCCCAGCCCGCGCGCGGGCGCTCTGCGCGGCCGTGGCCGTGGCGGTGGTCGCGGTGGCCGTGGCCGCGGTGGCCGGCGTCCCCTCCGAGCGCCCCGGCGCGGAGCAGCGCGCGGTGCGGAGAGCGGCAGGTAAGGAGGAGCGGGCGGGCGCGGGGCCCGCAGACGCCGCCGTCGAGGCGCCCGCGCGGGCTCCGGCCGTCGTGGGTCCTGGGGCCCTCGCGGGCGGGACGTTCCTGCTGCGGGGTCCGCCGTCCCCGGGACGCGGGTTCGTGCGTGCCCGGGGGACGGGCTCCCCGCGGGGCGGGCGGCACCGGGCTGCGCTCCGGGGTCGGGGGTCGGGGTCCGGGGGGCGGCCGGGCCGGGAGGGGGCCGCGCGGAGCCCCCGCGAGCTCGGCGGCGCCTGGCACCCGGCCGGCCGGCCGCAGGCGCGAGGCCCTCCCCGGGGAGCCGCCGCCCGCCCGGGCCGGGCCCGAACAGCCGCCCCTTTGTGCCCGGCGGGGCGGTGCGGGCCGCGGTGGCCGCGGCGGGCCGGGCAGATGGCGGCCGCCCCTCCCCGGCCCCTGCTCCGGCGGCGGCCGCGGCCTCCCGAACAATGTCATTTTTTTATGAATGAAAGTGGGCCCGGCGCCTGAATGCGCGTGTCATTCAGCGGCGTGACAGGGGCCGGCCCGGGGTCAGCGCGCGCTTTGAGCGCGGGCCGCCTGGGCGCGGGGCGGGGGGCGCATTAGCATGCGCCTGCGGGGGGGGCGCTGGGGGCCTGGGGGAGGCCGGCGGGGAGGGGGCTGGGGGCCTGGGGGAGGCCGGCGGGGGGGGGAGGCCGGCGGGGGGGAGGGGGCTGGGGACCTGGGGGAGGCCGGCGGGGGGGGGGAGGGGGCTGGGGGCCTGGGGGAGGCCGGCGGGGGGGGGGCTGGGGGCCTGGGGGAGGCCGGCGGGGGGGGGAGGGGACTGGGGGGTCTGGGGGAGGGGGAGGGGGTTGGGGGCCTGGGGGAGGCCGGCGGGGAGGGGGCTGGGGGCCTGGGGGAGGCCGGCGGGGGGGGGGGGGAGGCCGGCGGGGGGGGAGGGGGCTGGGGACCTGGGGGAGCCGGCGGGGGGGGGGGGGGAGGCCGGGCGGGGAGGGGGGAGGCCGGTGGTGGAGGGGGCTGGGCGCCTGGGGAGGCCGGCGGGGGCGGGGGGGGGGGGGGGAGGCCGGCGGGGAGGGGCCTGGGGGAGGGCTGGGGGGGAGGGGGCTAGGGACCTGGGGGAGGCCGGCGGGGTGGGGGGGAGGGGGAGGGGGTTGGGGACCTGGGGGAGGCCGGTGGGGAGGGGGCTGGGGACCTGGAGGAGGCCGGCAGGCTGGGGGCGGGGGGGGGGGGGGGGGGGGGGGCTGGGGGTCAGGGGGGGGGTTGGGGGCCTGGGGGAGGCTGGCGGATGGGGGGGTGGCTGGGAGACTCTGGCGGCGCGGGCGGGGGACCGGCCCCGGGGTGTGCGGCATTGCCCCCCACGTCCCCCAAGCTAGTGAAGTAGGTAGGGAGTTGATAGGTCAATAAACTTAATCCGGTTCCTTAACGAGATGGGCCGGGCAGTAAAAATACAAAGATCTCGTGAAATTTACAGAGGCCCTGGTTGGCACTTTCCCCAGGAACATAAATTATGGGGCGGGCGGGAGGAGCTGGCCAGGGTCAAGAGCAGGAGAGGGGTACTTTGGCCCCATCTGCTCAGGCCACCCTAGGCCCACAGGGGCAGCTTCTGTCCTAGCTTCACTTGGGCAGTGTTTTCGGTAGGAGGAAGGGGCAGCCACCAGAGGCCTGCAGGTTCCCTACACCAGGAGGAGGACCTGGGGAAGGCTGGGCCTCTCCCCTCCCAGGGCTTGGCTGCGGCCTCCCCTCACCCCTTGTGGGCAGGGCTGGACTTTGAGCCCTGCTGTCCTCGGGTGGTTCATTAACCTCTGCTGCTCCTGGGCCTCTGTCCTCTCTGAGCCTCGGAGCCCCTCCTCATCCTCCTCCCTGTCGGCGCAGGACTGGAACTGGCGGCCTTGGCCTCGGCCTCTCTTTTTTTACTGTGCGGTCTCCAGGGGCTTCGGGGCTTCACAGAGGTGCCCGTAGTTTGGCCCAGAGGTGGATTTTGGAGAAGGCCCAGGGTTCTTAGGTCGAAAGAAGGCCCTGGTGCTAGGGCAGAAAGGCTTACAAGTGAACAACTGTTCTGTGAGCTGCCCCTGTACGGTAGGCTTGCGGGCTGCGGTTGCCTGCGGGGCTTGAGCTGTCTCCCGGAACCCAGTCTGTTACCTGAGGGACGGGAGGGAGAGGACTGAAGATGGTCAGTTGTTTGGAGGATTAGGTTTGATAATCCCTGTAAGCCCTCATTAGGCTCTCGGCCTCCGGTGGAGCCCCCCCCCCCCCCATTTTGTTACGAAACTTTCCTTTGGAATGTCTTTTGGAGGTGGAAATGCAGGAAGGCTAGACCCTGAAACATGGCTTCAGGCCTCCTCCTCTCAGGCCATTCAGCCATACACCTGGCGCCACCCCACACCCTGCCTGCCGAGAGTGGCTTGTTCTAAACCACAGTGCTTTGTTCCCTGAGACCAGGACCGTCTTGCTCCCAAACCCAAACACTTAGTCTGAACTTGGTGCTTATTCTGTGAGCAGCACTGGAGCCTCCGCCGGAGTGACCCCAAACTGGGGGCCCGGTACCCCTAGCCAGGCATGCGGCCATCCCCCAGTCTGTGTCCTGGGGCACATCCAAGCCCACTGCTCTTGCTCATTACCAAGTGAAGTGGTCTTTCTGGATCCCAGACCTCCTGAGCGGGTTTTAATGGGGGAACTGAGCCCCGGCTCAGCGCCGGCCCCCTTTCTTTGCCTGTGCCAGAGGCTGCCCATGACGTGTACCCCGTACCCTCTGGGCTCCAGGTGGGGGTCAGAAACAGGAATGGGGCCACTCCCTCCCAAGTAGGCAACAGTCCCCCAACCCCGGTGACCAGGAAGGGACGCCCCCGGGGGCTGGGGACTGGGCCCCGGGAGCTGTGCACCCACCCCTCAAGTGGCAGGCCTGCCCTCCAGAGCCCGCTTGGCACAGGTCCACACCACACTTCCTTTCTTGCCCCCAGCCTAACTATCTTCAAGCTCCCTCAGGCCTCTGGACTCTGGGATGGCATCACGAGAAGCAGTCACTGCTGCCTAAGGCCACCTGAAGTCCAGGAGTCTCTGACCCTGCTGGCATCTAGCAGCCAGGGTGGGTGGACAGGTCAAGGGTCCACCCTTGACCCTTGACTAGGGATGGTCAGTATGAGATCAGTTCTCCCCAGTCCACACCCTGCCAGACACGGTAGCCTGGGGGCTGTTCTGTATGTCTGTGCCTGTGCCTGTGAGTGTCTGTGTGTCCATGTGTCCTTGTGTCCCACCCCTTCCTTCACTGGACCAGACTGAAGCAAATACTTGTGCAGATGGCTTGACCTGTTGTCCCTGCCCAGACCAAACCGGAACCAACAAGCTGTTGCCTTTGGGCTGGGGCCTGGAGCTGAGGCTACCAAGACTGGTCTGGCCTTTCCTGGCTCTGGGGCGGGAGGTGGGGGGGGAGGGCTGGGAGGGGTCTCAGGCACTCCCCGGCACTGGGTGGTCCCCACAGGCCGTGACCAGTATTGGAGAGCCAGAGATGAGGCCAGGAGCCCCTCTGAGTGGACCCATCCTGGGCCAAGTTCCACGCTGTGGGTCCCTATGGGACGTAAGCCCTGTGGGTACCTCTGGGGACAAGGGTGAACCCTTCTGAGTGGCGGCTTCTGGTGGACCCTGGGCATGCTGGACTGGTGTAGTTGGGACAGACAGAATTGGGCCTGGCCAGGGAGCCAGTGTAGACAGCTGGGCCTCGAATCTAGGCCGTGCGTCCGCAGAATGACAAGTAATAGGGCAGCCAGTCCAGCTGGATGTGGGAAGGAGGCCTGACCAGCAGGACCACCCACCCATGTCCCGGGCCCCAAGCCCAGCAACCCATGCCTGACACCGCTCCTGGCAAGAAGGCCTGGGTAGCGGTCAGCTTTGCTGGTAGTGGGGGGTCTTGGGTCTCAGGCCTTTGGACCCTCAGAAGCTGGGCAGCATCTAGGCAGGGGAGAGGCCAGACAGACCTGTGTCTGTTTGCCCTAACTTCTCAGCTCTCAGGTTGAGACTCTGTGGCTCTAGTGCTAAACCACTCACCTGGTGACTGACAGCTTCCTCCCTGGGCCTGGACCTCATCCGGAAAGGTGGGGTCCTAGGCCCCCGGCCCCTTGTGAGCTTACCTGAGCCTCTCCTGGCCCAGCTGGGGGCCTTCTGCAGTTTGGTCTTGTTTCTGCTGTGTGGAGCCGGCACACACGCTGCATAGACCACTCACGCTCAGACCCTGAGGCCCGTCCAGGCGTGGCTCAGCTCCCACAAAGGCCAGCTTGCTCACCTCACTAACTGGCCCTTGTGTGGCTGGGCCGGGTATGTCGGTCCCCTGGCTTAACGCCTGTAAAGAGAGGAGGTCGGGTGCTGAGAGAGGATCCTGCCATCTCCTTCAGCCATGGGCCAGCAAGATGCAGCCCACCTGTCATCGAGATGGATCTTTATGTTTATATTTCCAAATGGAAATGTCAACGGAAGAATAATACTTTGTGACTGGGGTGGGGGCAGTGCTAGAAGCAAACCCAGCCTTGTGCGTGCTGGGCGGGCACCTGCCTCTGCATCACCTGCAGCAGTGTGCGCGCGCGCGTACATGCACACAAACCCACACGCCAGTCCTTCAGGCTTGAACTTGGGGCCCAGGCGCTGTCCCTGAGCTTCTTCACTCAAGTCTGGCACTCTATCACTATTCTTACCGCCGCTCCACTTCTCGGTGTATAGTGGGAGCCAAGAGTCTCATGGACTTTGCCTGGGCTGGCTGTAAACTGCAGTTCTCAGATCTCAGCCTCCTAAAGTCTCTAGGACTGCAGCGTAAGCCCTCAGCGCCCAGCTCTTCCTGGCATTTTGAATGGCCTTGAAGTCCTAGTTTTCATACTCAGACCACAGTGAGGCTCGGGGCAGAGCAGGAAAATGCCCAGGCTCAGGCTCTTTGGGAACAGCCCCTCCCTGGTTTGAGCAGTGTGTGGAGGCCCGCAGGCCCGCTGTGTGTTGGCAAAGTGGGGGTGCGGGGTGCGGCTTGGGCGCTTGCCTCACGTCTACCCATTTCACCCACAGAGGTCCTGGGGCCCGAGCCTGGCCAGCAGGAGCAGGTGACCTTTGGCAGTGGTGATGCCCTGGAGCTGAGCTGCCGCTCACCGGGGGGTGGCCCCATGGGCCCCACTGTCTGGGTCAAGGACGGCATGGGTCTGGTGTCTTCCCCCCGGATCCTGGTGGGGCCCCAGCGGCTGCAGGTGCTGAACGCCTCCCAGGATGACGCTGGGACCTACAGCTGCCGGCAGCGGCTCACGCAGCGAGTGCTGTGCCGCTTCAGCGTGCGCATGACAGGTAAGCACCCGCAGGCCAGGGCCCTCCCCCCAGCATGGCCCCCAGGGTCACTCTGGCTCCAGGCAGAGTGGAGAGTCCTCCAAGGAAGTGCTGTCTGAATAATTGGCCTGTGCGGGCCACGTGGGGTCCCCTTGGGGTGAGTAGGGTCCCTAAGGCCAGGATGTGTCAGGCCCTGGCCATGGGCCTACCCCAGGGTCACAAACACACCTGCATTGCAGAGACTCCATCCTCAGGCGATGATGAAGATGGGGAAGACATGACCGAAGACACGGGTGAGTGAGCAGAGCCCAGGCTGGGGCGGGGCTGCCTGCCGCGGCTGGGAGGCCTGGGCATGGGGCAGCCAGGCTGGCCTGAGGGACTGTGGTGTGGACATGAGTGGGTGGGGGGGCCAGGGACTGAGAAGCCAGGGAGTAGCCCCTGGTACTAGGAGGAGAGGGTGGCGGCTCCAGGTGGGGCACTTAGAGGCTGGGATGGCCCCCGGATGAGCAGCAGGCATGGTGGAATGGTCAGGGGAGGACACCAGGCCCTATGGTCTGGCCCAGGGCCTTGGCACCATGGGCTTGGCTGACTGGAGGGGCCAGCTGCAAAGTGGGGTTCTGACTTTGAGGCAGCTGAGTTTGAGGTGTTGAGAGAGGCGCACGTGGCGGATAGTGAGGGTCAGGTGCGTAGTGAGGGTCAGGTGCGGTGCTCACGGCGGGGTCTGTGGTGCAGTGGGAGGTGCTAGGTGGACAGGTAAGGAGTTGAGCAGAGCCGCCGGGGTGACTTGGGGAGAGCCTGGGACGGGGCCCGGAGAGGCCTAGGTGGGGCTGTGGAGCCAAGCTCTGTCCTGAGCTGCGGCTTCTGCTTTCCCTTCCATGGCTGTCAGTATGTGCAGAGCAAAATTCTCAGTTCAGTTGCCCCCAGCCCCAGCCCCACAGACCCAGGAGCTCCTGGGACCTCCACCCCAAAGGCCTTTGTGGGCAGTGCTTGGTGTTTGTGGCCTTTGTGCCCTGAACCAGTCACTGCAGGGTGCCTGTCAGGAACTGGCTGCTAGGGGGCAGCATGGAGTCACTGAAGCCTTGCCAGTGTGTGTGTGTGTGTTGGGCAGGGGGCTGTGTTGTTCACACCCACCTGGGGGTCTCTATGCCAACCCCAGGAGGTCCAGGGTGACTCAGAGGGGTAGAAACTGGGCCCTGGGCCCAAATACGGCTGCATGCTTCAGAGAGCTGCGGCGCCAGGCCGCCACTCCTGTGGGCAGCCTGGCCAGCATGGCCAGTCCCTCCTGGGAGGGGCTTGCTGGGACACACCCGGGCGGGGTAGAGCACCCTGATGAGGCCCAGCTCTTGAGAGGGTCTGGGAGAGGAGGAAGCAGAGGGGGGCAGGCCCCCCCTCCCCCCTGCCGGTTCCTTCATGCGGACCTCCACCCAGGGGCCCCTTACTGGACCCGGCCCGAGCGGATGGAGAAGAAGCTGCTGGCCGTGCCTGCTGCCAACACAGTTCGTTTCCGCTGCCCGGCCGCTGGCAACCCCACACCGACCATCTCCTGGCTGAAGAACGGCAAGGAGTTCCGCGGGGAGCACCGCATAGGCGGCATCAAGGTGGGCCTGGCGGGCGGGCGGGCGGGAGGGCGGGCGGGCGGGCGGGCGGGCCTGGAAGGGAGCCGCACTCACCCCCCCCCCCCCCACAGCTGCGGCACCAGCAGTGGAGTCTGGTCATGGAGAGCGTGGTGCCCTCCGACCGCGGTAACTACACCTGCGTGGTGGAGAACAAGTTCGGCAGCATCCGGCAGACGTACACCCTGGACGTGCTGGGTGAGGGCAGGGCTGGCCGGGCGGGGGGGGGGGGGGCCTGGGGAGGGCTGTGCCTGACCCTGACCTTGCCCCCCCTCCACAGAGCGCTCCCCACACCGGCCCATCCTGCAGGCGGGGCTGCCCGCGAACCAGACCGCGGTGCTGGGCAGCGACGTGGAGTTCCACTGCAAGGTGTACAGCGACGCCCAGCCGCACATCCAGTGGCTGAAGCACGTGGAGGTGAACGGCAGCAAGGTGGGCCCGGATGGCACGCCCTACGTCACCGTGCTCAAGGTGGGCGCCATGAGGGGGGGCGGGGAGCTACAAGGGAGAGAAGGGTTGGAGGCAGCTATGGGGGGAAGGGCAGGGGAGCTGCGCTCCAGCACTCCACCCCTGCTCTGCGCTGCACGCAGCTCCGAGCCGTGCCTCTCGAGGTAGGATGCATTTCCCTCTTTGCCCTGAAGGCGGCGCCACAGCCCCGGGGGTGGCTAAGCACTGGGTGGTGCTGGCTCTCTGCCAGTGGCTTTGTCCACGGCCACGGGAGGTCCTGAGTTGGGACAGCTGGAACAGGGAAAGCAGAGACAAGTGGTCAGGTGGTGGGGAACGGCACAGAGGGAGTCACGGGAGGCCACGTGGAGGCCCTGCCCGTGCCTCCCGCCACCCCCGGGCTGCGCTGGCCGGACCCCGGCGGTGGGTGGGGCCTGTCGAGGCCCGCCTCAGGGCTTGGGGCTTGGTTGTGAGGGTGGACAGGAGGAAGCTCACCCCTTGAAGCCACGCCTGCCACCACCCTGCCGTGTCCCTGTGCCTGGCGCCCAGCCGGCCCTCCGGCGGGTCCCCAGGCCTGCCTTCCCCGCCGGGCCGGCTCGAGGGCCTGCCTGAGCCGGGTCTCTTGTCCCCGCAGTCCTGGATCAGTGAGCATGTGGAGGCCGATGCGCGCCTCCGCCTGGCCAATGTGTCGGAGCGGGACGGGGGCGAGTACCTCTGTCGGGCCACCAATTTCATAGGCGTGTCTGAGAAGGCCTTTTGGCTGCGCGTTCACGGGCCCCGCGCAGGTAACCACTCTGTCCCATGCCTGCTTGGCAGCCGAGCTCCGCGCCAGCGCCGGCTGTGTGTCTGCCTGCACGCTGCACGCCCCGCACGTCCCTCCCGCCAGCTCCCGCCTGCCTCCCGCTCCTCCGCGGCCGCCTGGCAGCACTGAGAGCCCTGCCCACCACTGTGACCGCCTGCTTCCGGCTCGGGCCGGCGCCCGCCCCCCCTGCACCCCGTGGGCATTCCCGCAAGGCCCCAGGGCCACTAGGGGCTGAGCCCACGCCACCTGCTGTCTGAGCATCCGCCTCCCGCCCCTCCCCTGCCGTGGACTCTGCTCCCTGCTCACCTCCCACCCGCCCCTCCGTCCCCACCCTCCCTCACCCTTCTCCACTAACCTGCATGCCGCCTGGGCTGGCACGTGCTGCCCGCGCACCTCGCGCTCACCCGGGACAGAGGACTCGCCGGTGGAGGGGCCGGCTTCAGGCTGGGGGCCCATGCACGCGGCAGGGCCCTGGCCCACTGGACCAGCGGCCGCGCGCGCCAGGGCCCGTGGTGGCGGCCGAGGTGGTGGTGGCGGCGGCGTTTTCCTTACAGCCTGGCTGGATCCTCAGCATGCGGACTGTGCCGCGGCGCCCGGGAGCTGCGGCGCTCGCCTAGCGCGCTCTGTCCTCTCTTGTAGACCGCGGGCGCTAACACCACCGACAAGGAGCTAGAGGTTCTGTCCTTGCACAATGTCACCTTTGAGGATGCGGGGGAGTACACCTGCCTGGCGGGCAATTCTATCGGGTTTTCCCATCACTCTGCGTGGCTGGTGGTGCTGCCAGGTACTGGCTCCTGCTGCTGCTTGTTCTGCACCTGTCCTCTCGGGGTGCTGGCTCAGGATCTGCCGAAGCTGCCAGGAGGGCCAGGGAACCCCACCGCTCCTGTCTGCTGTGGGCACACGACCGCCCCTAGCCTGGTCCTGCGGGGTCTTCCTTCCCGCTCCCGGCAGCCCCACGGCTCCCCTGCGGCTCTGGCATCTCCTGGCATTGGGTGTTGGTGTGGGTGCTGTTGGCTCTGCTGGCTCCTTCTTTCCTGGGTCTGGCTCCTCCTGACTGACGTGTCTGAAGCACCAGGGTGACCAGGGGTGCTGAGGCAAAGGCACCCACTCTGAGCCCCCCGGCCTCCTTCCCCTGCCGGTGCCTGCGGCTCTGGCCCCGGGCTCCACCGGAGAGGCTGACGGGCCTCAACGCCCTGTCTTTGCAGCAGAGGAGCTGGTGGAGGCGGACGAGGCTGGCAGCGTGTACGCGGGTATCCTCAGCTACGGGGTGGGTTTCTTCCTCTTCATCTTGCTGGTGGCCACCGTGACGCTCTGCCGCCTGCGCACCCCCCCGAAGAAAGGCCTGGGCTCCCCGGCCCTGCACAAGGTTGCCCGCTTCCCGCTCAAGCGACAGGTAACAGAAAGTAGATACCAGGTTTCGAGTGCCCTGTCTGCCTGCCCGGGCCTCCCCCGCCCCTTCTCCCCCCCCCCCCCCCGCCCCCCCCCCCCCACCACCCCGTCCCCACTCCATCCTTGCCTTGGGTCCTTCAAGGTGAGGGGGAACCGTGGCGTCCAGGGCCGAGGCTCTGCCAGATGCCTTCTCTGCTGTCTAGTGTCCCCCCCCCCCCCCCGCCCCCCATTGTGTTTTCCACATGCAGCCTAAGTAACTGGGCAACGTGGCGTGTTGGAGCAGGCCTGGTGCCCGCCCGGCCGTGGGGCTGCTGTCTTTGGGGGTCTCCCCGCCCTGCACCCATTGCATGGCACCAACCTTTCCCTGCCGACCCAAGCAGGTGTCCTTGGAGTCCAGCTCGTCCATGAACTCGAACACGCCACTGGTCCGCATCGCCCGGCTGTCCTCAGGAGAGGGCCCCGTGCTGGCCAACGTCTCTGAGCTCGAGCTGCCTGCTGACCCCAAGTGGGAGCTGTCCCGGGCCCAGTGAGTGAGCCCTGCGGAGGGACAGGAGGGGGCCCAGGCGGCGGCGGCAGGAGCAACGGTCCCATGGGCTCTAGATGGAAACTGGGTGGGGTTGAGGGCCTTGGGAGACACAGCCCTCCTCCGGGGGCCTGTCCCGAGGGCACGGCACCCGGGCACCAGACCTGGGGCCGCCCTCAACCTGTGAGCAAGCGCACGGGGCCGGCCTGGGGGGCTTCCTGCTTGGCGAGGCTGACCTTCAGCCACTGCCCCCGTCCAGGCTGACCCTCGGCAAGCCTCTCGGGGAGGGCTGCTTTGGCCAGGTGGTCATGGCGGAGGCCATCGGCATTGACAAGGACCGCGCTGCCAAGCCCGTCACGGTGGCCGTGAAGATGCTGAAGGGTGAGTGGGAAGCCTGCGTGGGGCACTGGATGGGCTCAGGGTCCCAGCTGACACCCACTCTCTGCACAGATGACGCCACGGACAAGGACCTATCGGACCTGGTGTCTGAGATGGAGATGATGAAGATGATCGGCAAGCACAAGAACATCATCAACCTGCTGGGGGCCTGCACGCAGGGAGGTAGGCGCGGGCCCGCTGGACAGCCGGGCAGCCCCTGGGCACCGGTGCCCCTCTAAGCCACCTGTGTCCCTAGGGCCCCTGTACGTGCTGGTGGAGTATGCGGCCAAGGGCAACCTGCGGGAGTTCCTGCGGGCGCGGCGGCCCCCGGGCATGGACTACTCGTTTGACGCCTGCCGGCTGCCTGAGGAGCAGCTCACCTTCAAAGATCTGGTGTCCTGCGCCTACCAGGTGGCCCGGGGCATGGAGTATCTGGCCTCCCAGAAGGTGAGTGACGGGACCGGGGGGGGGGGCGGGCGCCGGGGTCTGGTGGGGCGGGCTCAGCTGTGGCCTCTGCTCTCCCAGTGTATCCACAGGGACCTGGCCGCCCGGAATGTGCTGGTGACCGAGGACACCGTGATGAAGATCGCGGACTTTGGCCTGGCCCGCGATGTGCACAATCTTGATTACTACAAGAAGACTACCAACGTGAGCCCCGGCCCGGGCGGGCGGGCGGGCGGGCCCCAGCTGGGGGACGTGGCCACCAACGTGCCCCACTCTCACCCCCAGGGCCGGCTGCCTGTCAAGTGGATGGCACCAGAGGCCCTATTTGACCGTGTCTACACCCACCAGAGTGATGTGTACGTGTCCCATGCGGGGTGGGCACTCGAGGCACCGTGGGGGGCAGGGCGGTGCTGCCCTGGCACCGAGGGCCGCAGCCTCCCTGGCCCCACCGCACCCACAGTGGACAGCGTGTCCTGCGGGGGAGGGGGGCCGGAGGGAGCCGCCGGTGCCAGCCGCATGACCTTGCTTGTGCACTGCAGCTGGTCCTTCGGGGTCCTGCTGTGGGAGATCTTCACGCTGGGCGGCTCTCCGTACCCGGGGATCCCCGTGGAGGAGCTGTTCAAGCTCCTGAAGGAGGGCCACCGCATGGACAAGCCAGCCAACTGCACGCACGACCTGTGAGCAGGCCTGCCGCCCTGGGGCCCCTGCCCCTGCCCCTGCCCCTGCCCCTGCCCCTGCCCCGTGGTAGACCCACCAAAGCGGGTGTGGGGGGGCAGCAGCCTCGGGCCAGCCACACCTGAGCACCCCCGCCGCCAGGTACATGATCATGCGGGAGTGCTGGCACGCTGCGCCCTCGCAGAGGCCTACCTTCAAGCAGCTGGTGGAGGACCTGGACCGTATCCTCACCGTTACCTCCACCGACGTGAGTGCTGCCAGCCTGTCGCGCCCCCCCACGGCCATCCCCAGGTCCCTGGGGCCCCCGGGGTCCCTGGGGCAGGCCCTCGGGCACCGCCGGGCCCTCACCAGCCCACTGCCCACAGGAATACCTGGACCTGTCGGTGCCCTTCGAGCAGTACTCACCAGGTGGCCAAGATACCCCCAGCTCCAGCTCCTCGGGAGACGACTCTGTCTTCACCCATGACCTGCTGTCCCCAGCGCCACCCAGCAGCGGGGGCCCTCAGACGTGAAGGGCCGGTCCTGCAGGCCGAGCCCCCCCACTGTGAGATTGCTGCTGGTGTGAACGGGCCGCTGGCCCGAGCCTGGCACCGACAGGCAGGCCAGGCTGTGCCCCGTGCCTGCACACACGTGTTCCGGCGTTGGGTGCACATGCCCCCGGAGCCTCTGCTGCTGTCCAGTAGCCTCCTGACTGGCCAGAGCCAGGAGCCCCGGGGGCCCTAATTCTAGGGGCACCAAACGTAGAATGTGCCATCCTTGGGGGCCCTGGCCCTCACGGCCCACCCTGGGGAGGGCCGGGCTCTGTGTCCAAGGTGGACCTCGGCCCTCCAGTGCCCAAAGCTGAGCCTGCAGGGGGACCCATGCGCTGTGAGCCTCCCGCCTGCACGCAGCACCTGCGCCAGGAAGCGAGTCTCAGGATGCACCTCCCGGCCTCCCCGCTGCCCACCCCGCCCCTCAGAGACTGAAATTACGGGTACCTGGAGGAAGGCTTTACCTTCTGAAAGGTTTATTCCAGAAGCAAGTGTACATTTATATAAATAGATGTGTATATGATGGATATATATATACATGCCCATATATATATATATAATATGTATTATATATATATATAAAGAGTGTCTATGTGGAAGAGGCTGAGGCCTGAGAGCAGGCCCCGCGGGGCCTCACTGGAGAGACAGAAGAGGGGCAAGGGGCATTTCTGGTGCCACAGTTTTGTTTTAAAAATTGTACCTGGACCTGTATATGTGTAAAGCTATTTATCAGCCCGAGCCCCGCCCTCCACGCACATTCGTAGTGTTCGGCCAGCCGCGTGGCAGAGATTCCAATGTTAACTTATTAACACCTGCCTTTGGAGGGGTCGCCTAGAATGTACGTCCAGCCCCCACCAGGGCTGAGGCCCCTCGGAACTAAGTGGCCTTCATCATTAGAGGCGGTCAGTGAGCACTTCATTTCCTTCTGGCCGTCTTTGGCAGGGGAGTTAGACTTCCATAGGATTTTTCTTTAGGAGATGTATTTTTTCAAACTCAAAGCCAGCTGGTATTTTCCTACAGATTCTTCTAATTATTGTGTGTTCCCAGCAGGTGCCGGCCCGCACAGCCGCAGATGTTATTAGATGTTACAAGTTTATATATATCTATATATCTATATATATAATTTATTGAGTTTTTACAAGGTGTATTTGCTGTAGACTTAACACTTCTTACGCAATGCTTCTAGACTTTAATAGCCTGGATTGCTACTTTCAAAGCTTGGAAGAGAAAGCCGTGAATTCAGTTTTGTTACTTTTTGTACTGTTAATGGGCCGCAGGCTCCGGTCTCCTGCTCGCCAGCCAGGGCAGTGGCCAGGGTGGCTCTTCCCGGGGCCTGGATGCATAGTTTGTCCACCCACACGGGAGACGTGATATTTGTTAACCTAGCCTGTGTACTTCCCCAAAATAAAGAGACGACCGGTGCCACCTCCTGCCCGCCTTTGCCTTCTTCCTGGGTCCCCGAGGCTCTGCTAGTGTTGACGGGCTCTGGGGTCTGTCCCGAGAGGACAGCTGTGAGGCCAGGGGCAGCTGCCACGTCCCCAATGGAGGCGCTGGTGTCCAGCTCCAGGGAGCTGAGCGCCTTGCCCCAAGGGCCTGTCCAGACCCTGCCCAGGTCTGCAGCTGCTGCAAGGGCCCTGCGTCAGCCAGGGAGCAGCCTGGGGCTCTGTGGACAGCTGAGTGCCCAGCTCCTTGGGACCTGTGGGACTTGGGGGTCATGCCCAGGCCCCCGTCCTGTGACGCATCCAGCCTCGGGGGAGGAGGGGGCTGTAACTGAGGCCCCTACAGAGCAGCCCTGGCCAGCTCCCCGCCCCCACCCAAGCCCAGGTCCACAGGGCCCCAGTGGTGCCTGTGCCTCACGCAGACGTGCTGGACCCGGCACATGCAGGACAGGTGGGGCAGCCGTGCCCGGACGGTGGGCTGGGGCGGGGAGTGGGTCTGCAGAAGCAGACCAGAGGCCCAGGGCGGTGCTAGGCAGCGCCACGCTTGCTTCTCGCGCCTCACCCGTCTTGGGACAGGGCCCACTGGGAGCCCCACTCTCCAGGCCAGGAGACTTTCTGGATGGACAGGGTGGCCAGGGCTTTGGCGGTGGGCATCTGGCACTCCAACCTAGACCCCGCCAGGATGCAGTTTGAAGGGGCCCGCAGGCTGGCTGGTTCCCCTCGGCGATGCCTCAAGCCCCCGGCCCTGCCCAGAGGCTGGCACAGCCATGCAGTTACCTGGTGAGTGGGCGGCAGGCACTGCAGAGGCCAGCAGCTGGGGTGCAGTGCACGGACACCAGTCGGGGTGGGGCGGGAGGCAATGGTTGGCAGGCTTAGGTGGAGGACACGCTCCCAATCGGGCTGGCCTCTGCCTGGGCGGGCAGTGTGGGCTGGGCGCGCCCTCTAGTGTGCTGAGCCAGTCCTGTCCCGGCTGAGCCCTTGAGTGCCTGCTCAACGACAGCCACGTGAGCAAGGCGAGCGCCCAGGATCTAAGAACGCGGGCTCTGGCCTGCTCCCGGTCCAGCGGGAGCGAGGAGCGGCAGCAATGGCCGGGATGCTGCTAGTCAGGAGCTTCGGGGTGCTGTTTCGAGTCTGCTCCAGTCTGTAACGGTCCTGGTTCTCCCAGGAAGGCTCTGCCTTTCGGCCATGTGCGGTGGCACTTAGTCTATTGGCTCCGGACAGCCAGCACAGGGCTGAGACCAGCCAATGGCTGTGGTTCCCAGGGCCGTGTGAATCCCAGGATTCCCAGGGCTGTCAGCTTCCCCCCAAGGCAGGTAAGCTGCCTTTTCTGTGTCCAACAACCCTTCTCACAGGGAGAAACAGACATAACTGGTCCAGCCCTGAGGCTTTCTTTTAATCTATCAGGAATCACTATGGGGCTGAGTGGAGTGTGGTGGCTCACGCCTGTCAACACAGCACACAGGGGGCCAAGGAGGGGACCCGGGGGGAGGGGCAAGCGCAAGGCCACCCTGGCTAGTCTCACCTTCGCTGCACAACCAGCTCTCACGGCTGGCAGATGCCCCATCCTTGCTGCGGGAGGGGATGCTCAGGCTGGCTCTCCCACCAGCCGGCCCTGGCATTTTGTGAGCTGAGCACTTGAGGCTTTGAAAGAAACTAACAAAGAGGAATAGGCCCACGTCCAGGCCCACCCTTGGCCAGTGCTTCAGGCCTGCTCAGCCCAGCTGGCCACCCCGGTGACCCAGGCCACAGCCCCCAGAGACTAGGGGCCCAAGTGGGCTCAGATCTGACCTCAGGAACCACTGTCAGCATGAATGCTGATGCAGGGTGAGGCTGCTGGATATGCCCTAGCACCCTGGCTCGGGGAGGGCAGTCTGTCCACTGAGGTGGCTAGGTGAGGAGATGGACACCATGTCTGTCCTGCTGCCTAGACCCTCTCCGCCAAGCCACCCCCAGCTGGAACCTGAGGGAAGGGTCCGAAGGCTAACCTCACAAAGCCCTCTGCACAATCTCAGGATCACTGGGTTCTGCTATGGACTACTACTGTACCTCCAAGGAAACCTCCTGGCCAGGACACACCCATCATCCTCCAGAGGTCAGGACAGACCCATCACCCCCTGCCCCCCGTGGTCAGGACAGACCCATCACCCCCCATCAGGGGTCAGGACAGACCCATCACCCCCCAGAGGTCAGGGCAGACCCATCACCCCCCAGAGGTCAGGGCAGACCCATCACCCCCCCCCCCACCATGGTCAGGACAGACCCATCACCCCCCAGAGGTCAGGACAGACCCATCACCCCCCCCCACACACACACCGTGGTCAGGACAGACCCATCACCCCCCCCCCGAGGTCAGGACAGACCCCCCCACCCCCCCGAGGTCAGGACAGACCCATCGCCCCCCTCCACACACACACCGTGGTCAGGACAGGCCCATCACCCCCCAGAGGTCAGGACAGACCCCCTACCCCCCCGAGGTCAGGACAGACCCATCGCCCCCCATCAGGGGTCAGGTCAGACCCATCACCCCCCAGAGGTCAGGACAGGCCCATCACCCCCCCCCCAGAGGTCAGGACAGACTCATCGCCCCCCATCAGGGGTCAGGACAGGCCCATCACCCCCCATCAGGGGTCAGGACAGGCCCATCGCCCCCCCCCCCCGTCAGGGGTCCCAGGCGTGTTTCAGAAGCATGGCCTGGGCACTAAGTTGTCTGGCTCCAGGGCTCCTTGAGCCTTAGGAGGCAAGCACCTGGCAGGCGCCCAGGCCACCAACCTAGACCAACATCACAAGCAGCAAGTCACCAAGTGGCACTTTATTAAATCACCGCCTTACAGTGAGTTGTCTAGAAAACATCATCACCAGGCAGTCTGACACAGTGGACTCCCGCTGCAGCAAGCCGGCCTGGTGTCCCAGGCTGCGCAACACCAGGGTCCCCTCAGGCCACCGCAGGGGACCCCCAAGGAACCTGAGCACTCAGCATGGAGCCCACAGCCCAGAACAAAATCAAGTGATTTCGTCTCTAACTGCCATTCTCCACAGGAGCGCGTAGGCTTAATGTTCTAGTTTTTTAAAAGCAAACAAACCCGTCTCTAAAGGGCAGCTGACACACGGCCCAGGCCGGAGCAGGCGGCACACGATTTGCCCTGTTGCGGCACGCCACCAGCGCGGCGTGGGTGGCCTGAGACCAGGTGGGGGCCGCTGGGGAAGGCACTGCGTGTGGGGAGTCCCAACACCCGGCCCGCCTTCCCGAACCCCTGCGGGAGAAGCAGGTGTTCCCGGGGATGGAGGCAGTGCCTGGCTTCCTGTTCAAAGGGCACGGACACCCCCGCCCCTTGCCAGGCCCAGGGCAGCCGCAGATGGACGGCTGAAGCACCTGCCAGACTAAACCTAACCAGGACCCGTGTCCTCTGCGTCCCCCGACACGGATGCAGCTTCCGGAAGGAGGCTGAGCACATGAAGCAAATGCGGGACAAGGGGCAGAAAGCCTCCGAGACCCAAAAGGCACCCCTAGACCTGCTGCCTTAGGAGGGTGAGAGCAGGCCAGCCCCAGCCTCCAGGGAGGGAACAGCGACAGAGCAGGAGGCCCCCGAGGACGGGAGCACCCACGGCGACGGGCGCGCCCGGGGCCACAGGAAGCCATCTCCTCTGTGGGAGAATTGGCAACCACAAAGCCGGACACTAGGAAACGCCACGGGAGCAGGGGACAAGGCCGTGGACGGACAGCGCGGACCTGGGCCCTCCTTCCTCAGGGACAGCGCCTGTCAGGCCCCGCTGCTGCTGCACCCCGCTCACAGGTGAAGATCATGCTCCAATTGTGTCAGTAGCCAAGAACGAAGTGAACTGAGAATGCATCACTTTTGGGTGCTCCTCTGTTTCCCACCTAATTCAGAGGCCCCATGCACCCGTTCCTATGTCTTCCAGATTCCTATGGCTTAAGTCCCCTGAAAGGACATACTTTTATTTTACTTTTTAGTTTCCTTAGTGCTGGTCCTGGGGCGCTGTCCCTGAGCCTTTTCACTCAAGGGTGCTCGACCACTTGAGCTACAGCTCTACTCTGGCCTTTTGGTCTTACAGACTTTCCTGTAGGCTGGTTTGAGCCGAGATCCCCAGTCGCTAGGATCCCCGGCTTGAGCCACAGCACCTGGCTTCCTCAACGTTTTTTGGTGTTTTTTTTTTTTTTTCCCCCCGAGACAGATGGTAATACACAGCCCAGGCTGACCTGGAGCTTGTGATCCTCCTCCCTTGGCCTCCTCGCTGGAACCTGGCCCAGACTTCAAAAGGGTGTGACAGAGCCAAGGGTGAAGGGGGCGTGGCCACGGGGCCCCCAGGACGGCCCCCACCTTCCGTCTCACCAAGTGAGAAAGTCCTCTCTCAGCAGGGAGCCCCGGACCCAGAGCCAGTGGAGAATCACACCTGGGCCCAGGGCTGCTGTGCCCAGCCGTCTCGGGACGCCCTGTCCAGCGGCCAGTCCCTCAGGAGCTCTGCCCCCAGCTTGTTCTGAAGGGGCCGCAACACACCAAGGACACACAGAACAGGAGGCAAGGCTGTGTGGAAGCAACACCCGGCTCTTTATCCCCCAGTGTGAGTGTGCTTCGAGCTGCAGGTGAAGAGCTGCCGCGCTCCAGGCGTGCTTTGGGCTGGTCCTGGCTGCCGGAGGGCCGGGGCGGGGGCGGGGAGGGAGGGAGGGCGGGCGGGTGGGCGGGCGCCTAGTGCCCGCTGGAAGTCAGAGCCGGCTTGGGGTTCCCGCAGCCTGGGGTGCTCACACTGGCCTCCTGGCACGGTGCAAACGCCAGCACAGATGCTGCTTTGCCAGGGTTTCACGGTGTCTCAGCACTGCACCAGATGCACAGACCATCAGGTAAAAACGCCATCCTCGTCACTCCACTCAAGAGTCAGGTGCAGATGGAAGGCAAACCAAGAAAGCGACAGTGAGCCGGGGATCCGCGCGAGACGCTGGCGCCAGCCAGGGAGAGGTTGAGTCCGGAGGCCACGCCTCCCGCCGTGGAGATGACGGGCTGGAGCAGACAGCTCTACACACGGCCCACAGGCTGGCGTGTCCTCGTCGGCACTGGGTGCTCAGTCCGTCTGTTCCTGTCCCCGCACGGCCTCTGGGACACGCAGGCACAGCCACGTGGTGCACACGGGGGCTGAGAGTCCACCAGGTCCTCACTGTCCTTTCGGGGGGGGGGGGGGCGCAGGGCACACACCCCGCAGGTGTCGTTCTGCCCAGCCCGGCCCGAGCCCCCTCGGGGGCCGGGGTCCACGGGTGGCTGCGCCGCCTCTGCAGGGTGAGTCCAGACCTCCCCGGAGGCTTCCGGAGGCTCAGACTGACATCTTCGTGGAATGATGAAAATTAAAAATTACTTGATTATAGAAGTTTCTGATTTATTCCAGACAAAATATTAGGTCTGCCACTAAGAGCCACCTCCAAGCAATCACTCTCCGGCCACTCCACGGGGCTGGCGCGGCGGGTCGGAGGCAGGCGCGCGCGGGAGGCCCCATGGGGAGCCCGGCGGTCCTAACTCTTCACCTCTGCAGCCTCCTTCTCAGCCTTCTCCTTGGCCTTCTCCTTCTCCCCCACCTTCTCCTCTTTCTCCAGGGTTGCCACAATCTCAGCCACCTGACTGGTGGAGATGTGAACGTCTTCTTTGTCCACCAGGTCAATCACCTGCACACAGGGGAGACGGGGTCCATGCACAGCCCAGACTCTGCCCCCCGGCCCTGGCCCCTAGGCATGCCGGGCTCCTCCAGCCGACCTAGGGCTACCATGGCCCTGCCACCCTGTTGGGGGCTTGGGGCCAGTCCTAGATGTGTTCCCAGAGCAGAAAGGTAGCACATGGGGCCCACGCCCCAGCCATGCTGACTGGGGGTGGGAAGGGGTCTAACACTGCCGTCCTGTCCTCTTCAACGGGGCCCACGCCCCAGCCATGCTGACTGGGGGTGGGAAGGGGTCTGACACTGCCGTCCTGTCCTCTTCAACGGGACTGAAACCACAGACGCCCGAGACTCCTAACTTCCCAGATTCTTCTCAGAAATGCAAATGATAGGAAGCCATACTTCCCACACAGGTGGGGTCCTGTTCATCTCCTGGGAGCCCTGGCAGGGACGTCCCCACCTCCAGGTCTGTGAGTATGCAGAGAGGGGTCCAGGTGGGGCAAGGGGCGGTGGCGCTGCCGTTCACGGCTACCTGTGGCCACAGACCCCCAGACAGTGAGCCTCCTCTGAGGAGCCCAGGGCCCCAGCAGACAGGCCGAGGGCCGGCAGCCAGTAGGGACACTGTCCCACGAGGGCCGAGACTCAGGGTGAGTGTGGGTCTCGTGGCAGGAGACAGAGCCTGCGGCAAAGCCAGTGCTGTTGGCTCACCAGCATGTCTGAAGCTTCAACAAGCGGTTCTGTCTGTTTGTCCTGGCAGAGCTGGGGTGGACACCTCCACTTAGGCAGGCACGGTACCGCCGCCTCCCCAGCCCTCCCCGCATGCGCCCTGCCTGGGCTCCGCGGCAGCAGCCCCTCTCCAACCACATGGGGCGGCTTTGCAGCCCGCACGGCGCAGGCCTCACGGAGACCCACCTTCATGAGGTCGTTGATGTTGATCTTGCCGTCCTTATTTTCATCCAGGGCTGAGGCCAGGCTCACCAGCTTGTTTTCTGGAATGTCCTTGATTTGCTTCATGGTGTTGATAAGCTCAGTGACACTAATGACATCCTCCCTGGGGAGCACAGCCTACATGTGGCACCAGCCAGTCCCCTGCCCCTGGCCTGCCCTCATGGCTCCTGCCAGCGCCCTGACTGGCGGCCAGCACACGAGAACTGGGGTCATGTGCATGGATGCACAGAGCGACACTCCTACACCCTCTCCTCTGCCAGGCACAGCCACCCAGGACGCTGCCACAAACAGCACCAGACACCAGGTTCCCGTGTGTCTGTCCCCTGGCCAGGACTGCCATGGACTCTCTGCAGTGGTCCTCAGCCCACGTCTGCCACAAAGCCAACAGTTAATCCAAGAGGTGACATCTGAAGAAGTGGGCCTCGGGTGAGGGGCTGGGCCCCACGGCCAGCCACTTGCCCACAGCATGGAGTCTGTGGTCTGGATGTGTGGGAAGCCCACACAGAACTAGATCCCAGGGGTATAGGGCAGCCACTGCTGTCAAATGGGACATACCGGGAACAGAGGACACGTACTGCTGACTGCACGTCCGGGGCCGGGGGAGGGTTGCGGGGAGGCAGGGCTGAGACTAGAACCTAAAGGGAGACTATAGGGGAAGGGGAGGAAGGAGATGGATGTGCCTTGCATAGGTAAAGTCCACACTGGGGAAGGAAGACAGGGTAAAGAAGTGAAAAATAGGGGCAAAGGCCCCTGGGCCTCTGGCTGGACCTGGGCCTGTACAGGGGCAGTTAGCCACGGAGGATAAGCCCTATGGCCCAAGCTCAGACCTGAGCAGAGCGCCTGCCCTGCAGGAGTGGCCGCCTGGGCCACTTACTCACCCTGCAGGTGAGCCCTCGGCGGGGCCCAGCCTGCCAGCCTGATGCCCGGCCTCCAGCTGTGTAATCAGGCCGTCTATCTGCCCGATCATCTGCTGGACCCGCTTCGTTAGTCTCTTGCTGGCTTTGGACTCTTCCACATATTTTTCATCACCAGTCTTTGAAAGCTCTTTCTTGATCTCTTGCAAGTCCTAATGAAAATTATTTGCAGTTGTAAAGTTTTCACATATATACATATACATATATTTATATATACATATATGAATATATATACGTGGCTTATGGGCCCTACATTAACTTTAACTTGAAAAAGTAATGAGATGGGCTGGGAAGGTGGCTCAGTGTAGACTGCTTGCCTCGCATGCATGAGGCCCTGGGTTTGATTCCTTAGCACCACAAAAACAGAAAAAGCCAGAAGTAGTGCTGTAGCTCAAATGGTAGAACACTAGCCTTGAGCTGAAGAGCTGAGGGACAGCGCCCATGGCCAGAGTTCAGGCCCCACGGCCAACAACAAAAAAAAAAAAAAAAAGAAAGAAAGAAAGAAAAAGTAGTGAGCTGATTGAGGTGAATTGGGACTGTAGGTTCGTGGTATAGTGTCTGACTAGCACAAAGGCCCTGGGTTTAATCCCAGTACTATAAACACATATGTGCACCGCGCGCGCACGCGTGCACACACACACACACACACACACAAAGATAAAACATGAATTTCAGCCATAGAAAGACAAATCTTCCATACCTCATACTAATTTAGACATATTAATAACAAAGTTTTTTATTTTGGGGTCGTGGGGCTTGGACTTGGTTTGTTTTGTTTTGCCAGTCCTGGGGCTTGAACTCAGGGCCCAGGCCTGTCCCTGAGCTGCTTTTGCTCAAGGCTAGCACTACCACTAAGCCACATTCCCAGCCCTTGAACTCTGGGCTTGGGCACTGTCCTTGAGCTCTTCAGCTCAAGCTCTACCACTTGAGCCACAGCACCACTTCTGTTTTTCTGGTGGTTAATTGGAGATAAGAGTCTCATGGACTTTCCTACCAAAGCTGGCTTGAACCACGATCCTCAGATCTCAGCCTCCCGAGTAGCTAGAATTACAGGCATGGGCCACCAGCACCAAAAAAAATACAATTTAAACGTCATCCATAAGTGCTGGGGTGTGGCTCAGTGGTAGAGCTCTTGCCTAGTACGCACAGGAAGAGAGAGGAAGAGAATAGAGGGACAGAGGGAGCCAAGGAAACCACGATGAAAGCAGGAAGTCTGTCAGAAGGAATGGTGAGACTGGGGACATGGCTCAGTGGTAGAGTGCTTGCCTAGCATGCAACACAGAAAACAGAATTCACCACAAAAACAGAAAAGGCCAGAAGTGGTGCTGTGGCTCTAGTGGTAGAGCGCTAGCCCTAAGCAAACAGAAGCTCAGAGACAGTGCCCAGGCCCTGAGTTCAAGCCCCAGGACTGGCAAAAATAAACAAAGAATGAAGAAAAAGATTTCATTCATCAATGAGTAAACATACAGGCACTACCACGGCATTCAGACCTCTCTACTGTGGGCTTGGCAGATGTCATTTATCAAGAAAGAGGCCCAGCTAGAACCACTGCGGAAATTTGAAGTAAAATCTGTTTTCTTTTTCTTTCTTCCTTTTTTCTACTTTTTTTCTTTTTTTCCTCATGCTGAAAATCTAACCCAGAGTCTCACACATGCTAGACAAGTGATCTACACTGAACTATATATCCCAGCCAAAATTCAGCTTGATTTTCAAGTTGACTTGTAACTTGATTTTCCTTTTTCTTTTTTTGGTCGGTCATGGGGCATGAACTCTGGACCTGGGGACTGTCCCTGCCCTCTTCAGCTCAAGGCTAGCACTCTATCGCTTGAGCCACAGCACCACTTCAGTTTTCTAGTGGCTTATTGGAGATAAGAGTCTCACAAACTTTCCTGCCTGGGCTGGCTTTGAACCGGGATCCTCAGATCTCAGCCTTTTGAGTATGTAACTTGATTTTCTGTTCACAGTTCCACTGGCTAGCTTTTCCCACACTTACGTATCACTCGAGTATTTTGGTGGCTGAGAGGCTTTCATTCTGCACGTCACAGAACCCGGCTGACCAGCCGCCCGCTCCGAGCTGCCGAAGTGGAAACCTTTGACCCCACAGCTTCTCCCTCACCTCATTGTAGTCCTGGACGTCCACCTTCAGCAGCTCCAACTCTTCCTTCTCCTTTATCAGGGACTTCTTCTGCTCCTGCAGTTTGGAGCAGGCATCACTGAGAATGTCAATTTCCTCCTTGGTTATTTCCTCTTCCTGGAAAGAAGTAACAAGCAGACAGTGAAGGCATAACAAGTTTGTTGTTCTTGTTGTCGGTCGTGGGCCTGAACTCTGGGCCTGGGCGCTGTCCCTCAGCTCTTCAGCTCAAGGCTAGCGCTCTAACACTTGAGCTATGGCGCCACTTCCAGCTTTTTTCTTTTTGCTTATGTGGTGCTGAGGGATCGAACACAGGGCCTCATCCATGCAAGGCACATGCTCTACCGCTGCTTTTTTAAGGGTCTCACTTCTTGCTTGGCATCCCCTTTAGCCCTCGGCAGGGCGAGGATCACAGACAGGTACAACACCCAGCTTCTCTCAATGGAAATGGCTGGCCTCCAATCTCAATCCTCGAAATGTCAGTCTCCCACATGGCCGTGGGTGCCGGCAGCACACCACCTCCCCACTCTAGGTTTAGAAGGGGAACCTCTCAAACATTTATGTCCAAGCTGATCTCTGTGATTCTCCTGACTTCCTTCTTAGCAGGTACAATTACAGTTGTGAGTCACGGGCGCCCAGCCTTTTACTACTTTTCTAAGGACCATCTTGGCTATTTTAGATCCTCTGAATCTCACTCCTACATAAATTTTAACATGAGCTTGTCAATTTCAAGAATAAACCCCCTGCTGGAATTCACACTTAGCCTGCCGAGTCTGGGAAGGAGCGGCTCAGTCCCTGTTCGCTGAGGCCTTCATTTATCTCATCACTCCTATTTGGACACAGCTCTTAGATGCATCTTTACCCCGAGGCAATCCTCTCTGGGAATAATATTGGAAATGATACAACTGACCAACGGCCTCACACTACTTGTGAATGGACTTTCACTCCCTCCTCTCCAGCCACACTGAGGGAGCGAGGTCATGGCGTGGTGTGGGTGTGGCTGCAGTGTGGATGTGTGGTGGGTGTGGCTGCAGTGTGGATGTGTGGTGGGCGTGGCTGCAGTGTGGGCTGGGCTGTGGTATGGGTGTGGCCTTGGTGTGGACGGGCTGAGGTGTGGGTGGTGTGGCCTTGGTGTGGGCAGGCTGAGGTGTGGGTGTGGCCTTGGTGTGGGCAGGCTGAGGTGTGGGTGTGAAGGCTGTGTGGGTGGAGCTATGGTGTGGGTGTGGCCTTGGTGTGGGCAGGCTGAGGCATGGGTGGGGCCGTCATGTGGGTGTGGCCTTGGTGTGGGCAGGCTGAGGTGTGGGTGGAGCTATGGTGTGGGTGTGGCCTTGGTGTGGGCAGGCTGAGGTGTGGGTGGGGCCGTCATGTGGGTGTGGCCTTGGTGTGGGCAGGCTGAGGTGTGGGTGGGGCCGTGGTGTGGGTGTGAAGGCTGTGTGGGTGGAGCTGTGGTGTGAGTGTGGCCTTGGTGTGGGCAGGCTGAGGTGTGGGTGGGGCCGTCGTATGGGTGTGGCCTTGGTGTGGGCAGGCTGAGGTGTGGGTGGGGCCGTCATATGGGTGTGGCCTTGGTGTGGGCAGGCTGAGGTGTGGGTGTGGCCTTGGTGTGGGCAGGCTGAGGTGTGGGTGTGGCCTTGGTGTGGGCAGGCTGAGGTGTGGGTGTGGCCTTGGTGTGGGTGTGGCTTTGGTGTGGGCAGGCTGAGGTGTGGGTGTGGCCTTGGTGTGGGCAGGCTGAGGTGTGGGTGGGGCCGTCGTATGGGTGTGGCCTTGGTGTGGGCAGGCTGAGGTGTGGGTGTGGCCTTGGTGTGGGCAGGCTGAGGTGTGGGTGTGGCCTTGGTGTGGGTGTGGCCTTGGTGTGGGCAGGCTGAGGTGTGGGTGTGGCCTTGGTGTGGGCAGGCTGAGGTGTGGGTGTGGCCTTGGTGTGGGTGTGGCCTTGGTGTGGGCAGGCTGAGGTGTGGGTGGGGCCGTGGTATGGGTGTGGCCTTGGTGTGGGCAGGCTGAGGTGTGGGTGTGAAGGCTGTGTGGGCAGAGCCGTGGTGTGGGCAGGCGACAATGTGGGTGGGTGTGAAGGCCAGGCCAGGGCATGGACAACCAGCCCCTATGCTTCCGGGAGCACAAAAAGGTCCCTGCATGTGCTACTGTGGAGACTTCACAATGGGAGTTGGCTTGTTTTCCCCATAGTGCCTGTACAGCCATTCTTATGGGACAGCTGCATCCCGGTCACTGGTTCATGAAGAACGTTCTCATCTATGCTGGTCACACTTGGGCATGTGCTGGAGCCAGAGCTCCTCAGCACTGAGCCCGCCTGCCCCTCCAATCTGTGCTTACCAGCCCTGGGAACCGGGGCCCCAAGTCTGTGGGCCATCTACCTTGCAAGAGGCAGGCTGCCTGGAGTCGGCTCCAGCCCTGACCTGGCAGCCATCTGCTTCCTCAGGACTTTGGCCCTGCTGTTACACATCTGCTGGGCTTATCCCAGGCAGAGCCAGTCTCTACAAAGAAGCCACTTGGTCCTGCCCCATGCTCTCCCTACCCTCCTCACACTGCGCAGAAGAGCTTCCGCTTATCCCTGCAGCCCAGGAGAGCAGGCTGGACCTGGCCTGGCCAAGGCACCCAGACCACCAGAGGCAGCGCTCAGGGCTCAATGCCCCAGGCCCTCTTCTGAGCTGCCACCCAGCCAGCCTGTGCTCTTCCAGAGGCTCATGTCCTCAAGGCATCCTTTGGGACCACCAGGCTGAGACCTTCCTGGACATAATCTCCCACTCAGGACTCTTGGCTGCTTGGCTCCCAAACCGTTTCCATCTGCCCATGGATCGATCCCCAGCTAGATCCACTCCTGTGTGAGCTACAGGGTCCCCAGGGCAGAAGCATCCAAGAGTGCCCAGGGATGGAGAAGCCACTCACACTCAGAGCTCCCAGGATGTACTATGCCCCCAGCCCTGGGCCCTCAGAGGTCCCATGTCCCGTCATCCAGCAGATGATACCGGAACAGGCTTCTGTAGAGGAAGCTCTCCTGAAGGACAGCCTCCATTCTGCTGCTGACAAGGGCCTAGAGGTCCCCTAGAAGAAGGGCAGCCTCACCCGCAGCTGCATAGGCCCTAAGCACCTTATACCACACCCCGCTCCCCACACCTCTGCCCCCTGGCCAACCGTCCCTCCTCAGAAGCTGTGCCCCCAGCCCAGACCTGCCCTGCAGGACATGTCACTCACCTTCAAGCCCTCTAGCACAGGGGCAGTGTCCTTCAGGATCTCTGAGGGCAGAATGATGTCGGGCACAGCCTGTGCCTCCACCACTGGCTTCACTGGAGCAGTAGCTTCAGCTACTTCTGGCTCCAGATCCTTCTGAAACCCAACAAGAACTACCGTCACCTTGCGCGACTCCTAAGCCGGCCAGGTGACACGGGGCTTTGCAGAGGGGGATCAGAGCACCCCATCCCATCTTGATCTTCCTCAACACCACGCCACATGCAATGCGGTGCGGCTGGTGGTCTGTGGACAGTCCCAGAGGGCAGGGGGCCCTCGTGGCAGCACAGCCGCGTGGGCCCAGGGAGCCAGCACTGGGCGTCAGAGGCCCCACCCTCAGAGCAGGGCCACCAAGTGGGGTTCCATCGGTCTTCCCTGGGTGCTAGGCTGGCCCTCCCTCCATTCATTCTATGAGGGTGCCCTTCCTCCCTGGGACGTGCTGACCACTGCAGAAGCCAAGCTAGGACAGACTGCGCTTCCATGGCCTGCAGGGAGGCTCCATGGGGCTGCGCTGCGCGTGGAGGGCAGCTCAGGACAGACTGCGCTTCCATGGCCTGCAGGGAGGCTCCATGGGGTTGTGCTGCGCGTGGAGGGCAGCTCAGGCACTCACTGCGGTCTCCACAGCCCTTTCCAGCTCCTTCTCTCGGTGCTCCTGCTGAATGGCAGCCTCCTCCTGCAGCGTGGCCTCCAGCTTTGCCTTGTTGTCCACCTGCTCGCCTTCTACCTCAGCCACTTTCACCTGTGCTTCCTTGGCCTTCAGAAGAGGGGCCTGTGGTGAGTGCAGGGCCCAGGCACACGCGCCCTACCTCTCCCCCACCTAGGGAGCACCACCACTGGCCTACCTCCCCTTCTCTCCCCTCCCCTCCCCTCCCCAGCACCACCACCCGGCCTACCTCTCCCCCACCTACACAGCACCTCCACTAAGCCTACCACCCTCCCCTTCCCAGCACCACCACTGGGGCCCTATGTAGAGACAGGATGCACTGTTGAGGTGCTGCCCCATGGGCTGGGACATAAACAGAGGCTCCCATGGGACCTCCATGCCCAGTTGATAAAGGGTAGTACAGTCTGCACTGGCAAAACTCAAACCCACGCGGCAGGTCTGCTTCCTCCCATCAACATGAGGCAGGGTCCGGAGGGGTCAGTATGCCAGAGCCTGTGCTGCTGGAGGAACCAGGCCGGCAGAGCGAGGGGCCACTGAGCCAAGTCAGTGCTGACAGGCAGGAGGGCAGACAGAGGTCTCCTCGAGAAGTGAGCACCAGGGGGTCCCCAGCAATGCATACCACAATCTCCGGGAGGGTCTGCAGAGTGGACGTGAGCTGGTCGGCAGGGGAGAGGGTGTCGGGGAGGTACATGGCCCGGGACAGGATGAGCAGTGATGTGGGGATTTCATGGTGCAGGTGCAGGTCCAGCCACTGGAAGCAGAATGAACATGATGGGCCATGGGCCTGGCCTGCTGAGGCAGGCTGCTGTGGGGAGCCCACCATGTGCAGTGCACCTGCAGAGAGGGCCACGGGCAGTGGGGAGAGGGGTGACCAGCAGACTGCTCTTGGTACTCAAATCTTCCCAGGCCACAGGTAAGACACATCATCAAAATGTGACCATACCCAAGGACGTCAACGCAGGTCCTAACGTGCCCACAGGTGAGCAGGGGGAGAGCAAGCTGGACAACCAAAGGTGAGAGCTCACAGGGCGCCGGCGGCTCCCGCCCCTCAGCCTGCTCCGGCCCGTCAGCCTGCTCCCCCCCCCCCCCCCCCCCCCCCGCCGTCAGCCTGGCTACTGAGGAGGCTGAGATCTGAGGATCACGGTTCAAAGCCATCCCGGGCAGGATTGTCCATGAGACTTTTGTTTTGTTTTGTTTTTTTTGTCAGTCTTAGGGCTTGAACTCTGGGCCTTGTCAGCTCAAGGCCAGTGTTCTACCATTTGAGCCACAGTGCCACTTCCAGTTTTATTTTTTATTTTTATTTTTTTCCTGGTAGTTAACTGGAGATGAGTCTAACGGGCTTTCCTGCCTGGGCTGGCTTTGAACAGCGATCCTCAGCCTCCTGAGTAGCTGGGATTATAGGCGTGAGCCACCAGCGCCCAGCTCCATGAGACTCTTATCTCCCATTAACCACAAGTAAACCAGAAGTGGCGCTGTGGCTCAAGTGCGAGAGCGCTCGCCTTGAGCTGAAGAGCTCAGGGTCAGAACCCAGGCTCAGAGTTCAAGCCCCACGACCAACCAAAAAAAAACCAAAAAACAAGCCAGGTCGGTGGCTCACGCCTGTAATCCTAGCTACTCAGGAGGCTGAGATTTGAGGATCACAGTTCAAAGCCAGCCCAGGCAGGAAAGTCCACGAGAATCTTATCTCCAATAAACCACTAGAAAACTGGAAGTGGCGCTGCAGCTCAAGCGGTAGAGCGCTCACCTTGAGCTGAAGAGCACAGGGACAGCGCCCAGGCCCAGAGTTCAAGCCCCATGACCGACCAAAACAAAAAAAAACAAAAACAAAAAAACAAAACTTAAATGTTCTTTATCAAGAAGAAAAAAAAAGCCAATGCAGGTGCTCACAATTATAATCCTAGCTTCTCAGGAGGCTGAGACTTGGAGGATTGCAGTTCTAAGCCAGACTAGGCAGAAAAGTCTCAGATTTGTCTCCAAAATTAAAAAAAAAAAAAAAGGAAAAAGTAGAACTGGCACCAGGCACGTGTGACTCACACTCATAAGCCTAGCTATTCAGATGTTGAGATCTGAAGATCACAGTTCAAAGCCAGCCTAGGCAGGAAAGTCCATGAAACTCTTCTCCCCAATGAACCACCAGAAACCTAGGAGGGCAGCTATGTCTCAAGTGGAAGGGTGCTAGCCTTGAGCACAAAAAAAAGCTCAGGGATACTTCAGGCCCTGAGTTCAAACCCCAGGACTACCACAAAAAAAAGTAAGGCTGGAGAGGTGGCTCAAATGGCAGTGTGCCAAATGAACATAAGGTCCCAAGTTCAAACCACAGTATTACACAGAAACTACAAAACCAAAAAAAACAGGAACGGTGTAACAAGACCGTAGGCATCCTGCCTGTGGCCGTGCTGCAGCGTTGTTCTAGCAGGTGCTCACCGCCAGCCCTCAGAGCACGCACCTGCTTCAGCTGGCCCCGCAAGCGGTCTTCTGTCACGCCGAGGGCCCGCATGCCCCGTGCCCGGCAGGCCGCCTGTAGCTCCTTGACGTTCAAGCTGTCCACCCCTTCCTCAGAGATCAGCTGGGAGAAAAAGTCAATCAATTATGACTTTTTTTTTTTTTTCCGGTCATGGAGCATGAACTCTGGGCCTGGGCGCTGTCCCTCAGCTCTTCAGTTCAAGGCTAGTGCTCTACCACTTGAGCCACATGGCCATTCCCGGCTTTTTTCTGCTTTATGTGGTGCTGAGGAATCAAACCCAGGGCCTCATGCATGCGAGGCAAGCACTCTACCACTGAGCCACCTTCCCAGCCCCAATTACTACTTTTTAAAGTCACTAGAAGCTATGGCACCAAGGTTATCTTGGGAGAGAGGGTCTGGAATCTGAACTGAGGCCTTGTGCTTACCTGGAAGCACTACCACCTGAGCCAGTCCTCCAGCCCTTTTTGTTTCAATCACTTTTTAAATAGGGTCACTTGTTTCTTGCCTGGGCTGGCTTTGGACTACAATCCTCTGTGTTTCCATCTCTTGGGTCTGTGGATCGTAGCTCCTGCCACCATTCCCAATTTGTTTATTGGGTTAAAAAGAAAAAAATTCTGGGGCTGGGAAGGTGGCTCAGTGGTAGAGCGCTTGCCTTGCATGCCTGAGGCCCTGGGTTCGATTCCTCAGCACCACATAAGCAAAAAGAAAAAAAAAGCTGGAAGTGGCGCTGTGGCTCAAGTGGTAGAGCGCTAGCCTTGAGCTGAAGAGCTGAGGGACAGCGCCCAGGCCCAGAGTTCAGGACCCACGACTGGACCAAAAAAAAAAAAAAAGAAAAAATTCTAAATGTGTAGGTGGTACATGCCTATAATCCCAGTACTCGGGAAACAGAGGCAGGAAGATTATTAGCTCAAGGTCAGCTTGGGTTACATCTGCCTCCAAAGATAACCACACACACACACACACACACACACACACACACACACACACACACACGTAAAAACAACTGCTGATGGGGCTGGGAAGGTGGCTCAGTGGTAGAGCACTTGCCTTGCACGCTCAAAGCCCTGGGTTCCATTCCTCAGCACCACATAAGCAAAAAAACAACTGCTGAAATGTGTGACCTAAGTGTATGAAGAAGATTCAAACATGAAGGCAGGCACCGGTGGCTTACACTGGTAATCCTAGCTATTGAGGAGGCTGAGATCTGAGGATCTCGGTCTAAGCCAGCAGCTGGCTTACCTCCAATAAACCACCAAAAACCCAGAAGTGGAGCTGTGGCTCATGTGGTAGAGCATCGACCTTGAGCAAAAATGCTAAGTGACAGTGCCCAGGCTCTGAGTAAGACCCAGTACTGAAAAAAATAAAATAGGCTGAAGCCCGGGCTCCAGTGGTTCATGCCTATAATCCTAGCTATTCAGGAGGCTGAGATCTGAGAATCACGGTCCAAAACCAGCCGGGGCAGGGCTGGGAAGGTGGCTCAGTGGTAGAGCGCTTGCCTTGCATGCATGAGGCCCTGGGCTCGATTCCTCAGCACCACATAAGCAAAAAGAAAAAAGCCGGAAGTGGCGCTGTGGCTCAAGTGGTAGAGCACTAGCCTTGAGCTGAAGAGCTGAGGGACAGCGCTCAGGCCCAGAGTTCAGGCCCCACTACCGGATCCAAAAAAAAAAAATAAAACCAGCCGGGCAGAAAAGTCCGTGAGACTCTTATCTCCAATTAACCATCAGAAAACGAGAAGTGGCACTGTGGCTCAAATGGTAGAGTGCAGCCGGGCGCTGGTGGCTCAAGCCTGTAATCCTAGCTACTGAGGAGGCTGAGATCTGAGGATCGCGGTTCAAAGCCAACCCGGGCAGGAGAGACCGTGAGACTCCTATCTCCAATAAACCACCAGAAAACCGGAAGTGGCGCTGTAGCTCAAGTGGTAGAGCGCTCGCCTTGAGCTGAAGAGCTGAGGGACAGTGCCCAGGCCCAGAGTTCAAGCCCCACGACCAACAACAACAACAACAAAAAAAAATGGTAGAGTGCTCGCCTTGAGCTGAAGAGCTGAGGGACAGCGCCCAAGCCCAAAGTTCAAGCCCCACAACCGACAAAAAAGAAAAAAAAAGGCTTTGATGATGGTTTAAAGCCAGTCAGGCCTTGAGATTCTATCTCCAAAGTAATGGGTGAAAAGCTAGACTGGAAGCTTGGTTCAAGCTTGCTTATTAGCTTGTGAGCTAAGCAAGCTGAGCAAGCTCAAATCCCTGAGTTCAAAACTTGATAGTAGGGAGTGGAAAAAAAAAAAAGAGGTAGTGCAAGCCAGCCATACTTGCCCAGGATTCTACTTGCAGCCTCCCTCCTCTAACTCTTGAGAGTCCGTCTCCTACCACTCCGCTTCTGGGCCAAAAGCTTGTTCTGGCTGCCCATGAAGGAGCGTACTGGTGACAGTTCTCACGTGCACTCACGTGAGAATGTCCCGGGGCTCCTCACTCCAGGGGCACGCAGGCTGGGATGGAGATCTAGGCTGACACTTCTTTCCTTTCTGCACGTGAAAAAAGTCCTTTGGCTTCTTTGGGCTCCTGGTATTCTTTGAAGAAGCCAAGGCTATCAGGCCATTTTCTCTAAAGGGGGACACCGTCCCTCCTCTCATTGCTCTTTAAGTGGTTTCTCTTAGCTGGGTACAAGTGCTCACACGTGTAATCTTAGCTCCTCGGGCAGCTGAGATTGGAGGTTAAGCCTCAGGTTAGAAGCCATCTAGTCAAAAAACTATCTCTAATTAACCAGGAGAATTCACCACAAAAAAGTTCTCGAACTCCATCTCAACAGAAGAAGCTGAGCATGTAGCATGTGCCTATCTCCTGTTACCCCAACTACGAAGGAAAGCTTCAAACATGACTGTGGTCCGGGTGCATGCGCAAAAAAAAGCAAGACTCTATCTCAAAACAGCCAGTGTGAAAAAGTGCTGGAGGTGTGGCTCAGCATTAGGAAACTGGCCTACCAAGGTCAAGGCTCTGAGCCCAAACCCCAGGACTGACCGAAAAAGAAAACACAAGGGGGAAAAACCAAAGAACAGTGTCGGCCTGGCTTCACCCCGTGGCAGGCTCACCTTGTCATCAGCCTTGATGGACCGCAGCCTCATGGTGAGCTGGAAGCGCAGGAAGCTGTTGGTGCCGATGGACTGGAGCTCCAGCAGCTTGCACAGCGCCACCAGCTGAGGCCGAGTCAGGTTGTCCATGGTCAGCTCATCCTCAAACAACTTGGAAAAACGCATGATTTCCTCATTGCTGGGCCGCTCCCCCGTCTCCCTGATCTGTGGGAGAACCGACAGTCAGCTGCTGGGTCAGAGCTGAGGCCCCGCTCCAATCCCAGCCTCAGGACCCACTCGGAAGTGAAAAAAGGGGCCGCCACCCCCACAGGCTCCTGCAGAGATCAACACCACAACACTCAGCACACGCTGGGCCCGCAGGGGATGCTGCACACACAGCACAGGGGCCTGGGCAGCACTCAGGCTGGTGCCCTCTGGAGGAGGTCTCAGTGTCTGCTCTACACCAGGACTTGGGGGCTCACTGGTGACCTCAGACCACACGCATGTGTGTGCATATGGTTCCTTTGACGGGATCTGAGCACAGGACAGACAGTGGCCAGCATGGGCCTGGCCTGGGAGCGCCAGAGTGTTAAGTACAGCCAAAAATAGCAAAGAGAAGAGCAGCCACAAGGCCCAGTGGTACTGCACAGCCCTGTGCGGGCTGCGCCCAGGGACACACAGCACCTTCTGAAAGAAGGCCGAGAAGTCTTTGGTGGCGCTGCCCTTGGCCGCCTTGTTCTTCAGAGCCATCTCCTCGATGGTGTCCTGAAGGAACTTGGCCAGCTCCAGCTTCACTCGCAGCTCCTTCTTCAGCCTCTCCTCCTGCAGGGCACAACAAGAAGGCTGCATCCACCCTGGCCCCCGCCCTCCTACCACGCTCAACCCAAGTGAAGAGACTGCCCCTCCACGGGAGATGCATCTCCTCCTTAGTGAACACTACCCAGAGGAACATTTCACAGAGCAAAATAGAAATGTGAAATGCTCGCTTCATGACTTCAAAAATCTTTGTGTGACTCCCTAGAGCAGGGGCTGCTAAACCTGTTCCCCACAGGTCAGACAGTGCTATTTCTGAACTTCGCAGGTTATGGCTTGGCTGGGGCCTCACAAAAGTATCAATCTACCAGTGTGTGTGTGTGCATGTACGTGTGTGCATAGGTGTGTACACACACATAGAACTACATTTTAAAATTGATTTTGCGTATTCATTCGAGAACAGGGTCTTACTACACAGTTCAAGCGAGTGTAGAAACTGCTAGATGGCCTGGGCTAGCCTTAAGCTCATGACCTTCTCGCTTCTACTTCCTGAACACCTGGGATCACAGGTGTGCAACACCATGCCTACCTTGATGGACTGAGTCTCAAATGTGGATGGCAGCATGTTCGGGAAGAGCTTCACGGCCACGGGCAGCAGGAACTCCATGAAGGGGACCACCACAAAGACCAGGAAGGGAACCAGGCGGAAGAGGTCAGCACAGATCCGGAGAAACTGCAAGGAGGGGCTTCATCAGGGCACAGAGCAGGCGTGACAGGAGCCCTTCTCTTACCTTGAAAGCATCTCAGGCCCGACCACAGCAGGGACTCTCAACCCGTTCTTTGTAGGGTCTAAATCACAAGTCCAGAGCCTTCAGAAAGGTGGCGTGGGATGCTACACTGTGGATCACAGGGGTATGAGGCAGGTGTCAGGGAGACACCAGAGAGGCCAGAAGTGGGCATTGAGATGGTTTCACCTTGTCCATCTATGAAAAGCGCACCATCTGCTGGGCACCTCATCCTAGATGACTCTGTGTAAGCAAAGCACCCTGGAGCGCCTCTCAGTCTTCAAATGAGTGCTCACGGTTCACACCTGTTAATCTTAGCTACTCAGGAGACTGAAATCTGTGGATTGAGGTTCAAAGCCAGCCAAGAAAGAAAGTCTGCGAGACTCTTGTTGGCGGTGGTGGTGGTGGTCGCGGGCTTGAACTCTGGGCCTGGGCTCAACTGTCCCTCAGCTCTTCAGCTCAAGGCAAGCGCTCTACCACTTAAAACACAGCGCCACTTCCGTATTTTTTTGTTTGTTTTTTTTTTTGAGTGGTTTACTGGATAGAAGAGTCTCAAGGACTTTTCCTACCCAGGCTGGCTTTGAACCACAAACCTCAGATCTCAGCAGGCAAGTCTGCAAGACTCCTATCTCCAGTAAACCACCTAAATGCCAGAAGTGGAGCTAGGGCTCAAGTGGTAAAGTGGAGGGAGAGAGGAGAGAGAGGAGAGAGAGGGGAGAGAGAGAGAGGGGAGAGAGAGAGAAAGAGAGAGAGAGAGGAGAGAGAGAGAGAGAGCACTCATGGAAACTGCCCAGGCCCTGAGTTTAAACCCTAGGACTGGCAGAAAGAGAGAAAGAAAGAAAAAAGAAGAAAAGAAAGAAAAGGGAGGTAGGAAAAAGGAGAAAGGAAGGAAGGGAGGGAGGGAGGGAGGGAAGATGGGAGGGAGGGAGGTTGGGAGAGGAGGGAGGGAGGTAGGGAAGGAGGGAGGGAGGGAGGGAAGGAGGGAAGGAGTAAGGGGGACTGACAGGGAGAAAGAAGGGGAGCAAGAAAGAGGAGAAAGGGAAGAGCAAAGAAGGAAGGGAAAGGGGGAAAGGAAATACATAAACGTATACACAGGCACTTATGCATATTTATATATATGTATATGTATATCTATCTATCTACATGTTTACCTAGCAAAAGCCCCTACCTTTGCTGGACATAGACTGGAGGCGAGGCAGTGTGACTTACAGGTTCTCTTGGGTCTTCCGAAAGGAAAAGATGAGCGGGCACTGGTGGCTCACACCTGTCATCCTAGCTACTCAGGAGGCTGAGATCTGAGGATGGAGGTTCAAAGCCAGCCCAGGCAGGAAAGTCCATGATACTCTTATCTCCAATAAACCACTTAGAAAACCAGAAGTGGTGCTGTGGCTCAAGTGGTAGAACGCTCACCTTGAGCTGAAGAGCTGAGGGACAGTGCCCAGGCCACAGGACCATGGGATAGGCATGTTAGGCAAGCACTCATGAGTTCTACTTCTGGCCTGACAAACTAACTGGTGAGTCATGGGGCTTCAACTCAGGGCTGGGCGCTGTCCCTTAGCCTCTGTGTGCTGAAGTCGAGCGCTCTTCTAGGCTGGCTGTGAACCACAATTCTAGATCTCAGCCTCCTGAGTACTACGATTACAGGGGTGACCCACCAGTGCCAGACAACAAACTAGCTTTCTACTGGTATGTGGACAGGAGAACAAAGGCTGTTCACAGACATCCCAAGGTGTTAAGATGCAGAGATGCCAACGGACAAAGGACCCACAGTTGCAGCACTGAGAAGCCAAAGCCCCGCCTCCCCCTTTTTTAATGTACGGACTCAGGTCCTACTGCTCTCAACTTTTTCTGCTCAATCCTTGTGCTGTCACTTGAGCCACATTTCTAGTTCCAGCTTTTTGCTGGTTAACTGGAGCAAAGTCTTCTGGATTTGTCTACATGGGCTGATTTTGAATCTTAATCTTCAGACTTCAGCCACCTGAGTGGCTAGGATTATAGGCATGAGCTACAAGTGCCCAACTCCATAGATCGGTTGTGGGACTTGAACTCTGGGCCTGGGCGCTGTCCCTGGGCTCTTCAGCTCAAGGCAAGTGCTCTACCACATGAGCCACAGTGCCACTTTGATTTTCTGGAGATTAATTGGAGATAAGAGTCTCACAGACTTTCCTGCCTGGGCTGGGCTGGCTTTGAACCATGATCCTCAGATCTCAGCCTCCTGAGTAGCTAGCATTACGCTGGCACCCGGCTTATACTCTATTATTTTTTATTTATTTACTTTTGCCAGTCCTAAGGCTTGAATCCTGGGCCTGGGTGCTATCCCTTAGCTCTTCAGATCAAGGGGAGCACTCTACTGCTTGAGCCACAGAGCCACTTCCGGTTTTCTAGTGGTTAAATTGGAGATAAGAGTCTCATGGACTTTCCTGCCCGGGCTGGCTTTGAACTGCAGATCCTCAGATCTCAGCCTCCTGAGTAGCCAGGATGACAGGTGTGAGCCATGGGTGCCTAACTCCTTCTTATACTTCATACCACACTAGAGGGCTGAACAAGGGAGTACTGGAGGACTAAGCGGGGGCACTGGCATCTAAGCTCTCACAGGAGGAAAGGCAGAAGCCCCAGTGAGGAAGGGGCAGTGTCAGCAAACTTGTGAGGACATGGCACCACCTGCCAGACACAGAGCCAGCCCCAGATCTCCTCCATGGGCACTCAACTGGCTTGACATAGACATCTTTTCATTATGGTGCTAATACCAGGCTTAAACTCGGGTTTCATTCTGGTGCCATTTTCTTGCTCAGTCTACAACTTTTTTTTTTTTTTTTTTTTTGGTCGGCCGTGGGGCTTGAACTCTGGGCCTGGGCGCTGTCCCTCAGCTCTTCAGCTCAAGGTGAGCGCTCTACCACTTGAGCCACAGCGCCACTTCCGGTTTTCTGGTGGTTTATTGGAGATAGGAGTCTCACGGTCTCTCCTGCCCGGGCTGGCTTTGAACCGCGATCCTCAGATCTCAGCCTCCTGAGTAGCTAGGATTACAGGCGTGAGCCACCAGCGCCCGGCTCACTCTACAACTTGAACCACACCTCCACCCTAGATTTTTTTTTGGTGGGGGGTCAGTCGTGGGGCCTGATCTCTGGGCCTGGGCGCTGTCCCTCAGCTCTTCAGCTCAAGGCGAGCGCTCTACCACTTGAGCCACAGCGCCACTTCCGGCTTTTTTCTTTTTGCTTATGTGGTGCTGAGGAATGGAACCCAGTGCCTCATGCATGCAAGGCAAGCGCTCTACCACTGAGCCACCTTCCCAGCCCGTTTTTTTTTTTTTTTTTAAATAAATCACTGCAGCTGGGCGCTGGTGGTGCTACTCAGGAGGCTGAGATCTGAAGATCATGTTTCAAAGCCAGCCCGGGAAGAAATATCCGTGAGACTCTTATCTCCAATTAACCACCAGAAAACCAAAAGTGGTGCTATGGAGCAGTAGAGAGCATGCTTTCAGCTGAAGAGCGCCTCTCCCCCCCCCACCCCTCCTTCTTTCTCCCTCTCTCCCCTTCTCTCCTCTCCTCTTGACAATCCTAGGGCTTAAACTCAGGGGCCTGGGCACTGTCGCTGGGCCTCTTCATACTCAAGGTTAGTGCTATACCAACTGAGCCACAGTGCCATCTGTGGCATTTTCTAAGTAGTTTATTAGAGATAAAAGTCTCATGGGGGGGCTGGGAAGGTGGCTCAGTGGTAGAGCGCTTGCCTTGCATGCATGAGGCCCTGAGTTCAATTCCTCAGCACCACATAAGCAAAAAAAAGGCGGAAGTGGCGCTGTGACTCAAGTGGTAGAGCACTCGCCTTGAGCTGAAGAGCTGAGGGCCAGTGCCCAGGCCCAGAGTTCAGGCCCCACGACAAAGAAAAGAAAGAAAGGAAGGAAGGAAGGAAGGAAGGAAGGAAGGAAGGAAGGAAGGAAGGAAGGAAGGAAGGAAGGAAGGAAGGAAGGAAGGAAGGAGGGAAAGATACCTTGGGGGCCAGAGTACCAGGCACGGCTCACACCCTCAGGGCCGTGGGAGGGCAGCCAGGGCGTGGGGTTGATGGGTTAGCGGCCGTACCACAAGAGGCCACATAGTTAGAGGTTTTGCTAACCTTTTCCTTACCAAGTGCAGTAGGGAAGGCACCCCAACACAGATGGAAAGGCCCCTCAGGTGACAGGCTACAGCCCTACCTGCCTGCGTTCCCGGCGTGTCAGCGTGTGGCCATTGAGGATGCGCCAGAGCGTGCGCGCGGCGATCTTCGCATCAATCCAGAGCAGGCGGAAGCCATGGTAGTAGTGCTTCAGCTCATCCAGAACCTTCTGCCCGAGGGACTGCTTCACTACCACCTTGGTGGGTGGGCTGTACACAGGGCCACCCTCCTCCAGCTTCTTGTTCTTGTCTTTTAAGGACTTGAGGGACTTCTCCACCACAGAGTCATCGCCAAGCCAGGGTGAGGAGTGCCAGCCCCGCACAGGAAGGTCCTGAGGTCCCGAGACAGCCAAGCTCACTGGGGCGGGCCTCCACGGCACCCCTGCTCCCATGCACAGGCGTGCCGGCCTTGAAGTCCAACAGCTGAAGGGCTCACCTCTGAAGCAAAGGTGCGCGGGGTGTGCTGGTGTGCAGCGGCCAGAGGGAACATCCCTAGAAAGAGAGAAGGAAAAAGCAGGGGTGGGAAGCAGGGCACCAGGGGCGCACACCTGTAATCCTAGCTACTCAGTAAGTTAAGATGTGAGGATTGTGGTTCAAAGCCAGCCCAGGCAGTAAAGTCCATGAGACTCGTATCTCCAATTAACCATGAGAACTGGAAGTGGTGCTGTGGTGCAAAGTGGCAGGACGCTAGCCTTGAACAGAAAACATCAGGGACAGTGCACAGGCCCTGAGTTCAAGCCACCAGACAGACAAAAAAAAAAAAGCAGTGATGAGAAGCCAGTAGCTATCTTTGATTGCTCAGCACCAAATACCACCAGGACCGTCAAACCACACGCCCTGGACCTTCCTTGGTTAATAGGTGCCACACAGCGGCAGCCATGGTAGTAAGGGATGCTGATACCGTGGGGGTGAGGGCTCTCTGGGGCTGCCGTGTGGGGAAGGAGTCTGCGGGACTGGGGGTGAGGGCAGCCGTGTGGGGAAGGGGTCTGCGGGACTGGGGGTGAGGGCAGCCGTGTGGGGAAGGGGTCTGCGGGACTGGGGGTGAGGGCAGCCGTGTGGGGAAGGGGTCTGCGGGACTGGGGATGAGGGCAGCCGTGTGGGGAAGGGGTCTGCGGGACTGGGGGGGAGAGGGGCTCTCTGGGGCTGCCGTGTGGGGAAGGGGTCTGCCGTGTGGGGAAGGGGTCTGCCGTGTGGGGAAGGGGTCTGCGGGACTGGGGGTGAGGGCTGCCGTGTGGGGAAGGGGTCTGCCGTTTGGGGAAGGGGTGAGGGCTGCCGTGTGGGGAAGGGGTCTGCCGTGTGGGGAAGGGGTCTGCCGTGTGGGGAAGGGGTCTGCAGGACTGGGGGTGAGGGCTGCCGTGTGGGGAAGGGGTCTGCCGTGTGGGGAAGGGGTGAGGGCTGCCGTGTGGGGAAGGGGTCTGCCGTGTGGGGAAGGGGTCTGCGGGACTGGGGGTGAGGGCTGCCGTGTGGGGAAGGGGTCTGCGGGACTGGGGGTGAGAGGGGCTCTCTCATGTGGGGAAGGGGTCTGTGGGACTGGCAGCAGGCACTGCCTCAGCTCACAGCATGTGGCTGGCAGCCTGGGGACTGTGCCCCAGAAGAGGTTCACAGCACAGCACTCCCTGGGCTGAGGCATGCTGCTGGCACAGCTCTGATGCCAGGCACTGGCTGCGGGGCCCCCGAGGCACCCTCCAGATCGTCCCTTACTCACACCCTTCACAGCCGGTGATGGCTGACACACTGCTGAAGGCCGGTGAGGGCACGCCGCGAAGGTGGGGTGGCAGGCAGGTGTGTACGTGTGCCCCATCGCAGTGTCTGTGCGCGTGCACGCACACGTGCCTCTCCTTCTCGGTCTATCTCCCCCACACCTATGGGAGCTTTCAATCTCTCTCCAAACCCTTGCCCAGCCTGCATCCAGGCACGGTCACAGGGTACAGGGTGGTGTCCACCCAGGCTCAGGGGACACTCAGCCAACTGCCAGTGGAAAGATGCCTTCCCCATTTCCTACCTTCCATGCCCTGACCTTGCCTTCACATGCACACAACAGTGCCTGCACCTGAAGCAAGTACCACCCGATTTCCTTGGCCTGCCAGTCCTGGGGCTTAAACTCTGGGTCTGGGCACTGTCCCTAAGCTCCTTGTGCTCAAGGCTAGCATTTTACCACTTGAGCCTCAGCATCACTTCCTGCTTTTTCTGTGGTTAGTTGGAAATAAGAACCTCATAGACTTTCCTGTCCAGGCTGGCTTCGAACTGGGACCTCAGATCTCAGCCTCCTGAGTAGCTAGGATGACAGGCGTGAGCCACTTACCCAACTTACCCAATCTTTACTAGGCTCAATTACCCACTTTCTCAACCTTCAGTTGGCAAGGAAGAGCATGGCTTACACAAGGCAGGATGCCAACAGAGGCAACTGACAGGCAAAAAACAAAGACCCAGAAATAGACCAACACATGGTTTACAGGAAGCACATGAAGTATCAGGTTAGGGCCTACGGCCTAAGACTTAACTAACTTCAAGCTCGTCAGAGATTATTGCTACTAACAGCCTAGGTGGAAAGGCTTAGCGATTTTTTTTTTTTTTTGGGTCCGTCGTGGGGCTTGAACTCTGGCACTGTCCCTCAGCTCTTCAGCTCAAGGCGAGCGCTCTACCACTTGAGCTACAGCGCCACTTCCAGTTTTCTGGTGGTTTATTGGAGATAGGAGTCTCACGGTCTCTCCTGCCTGGGCTGGCTTTGAACAGCGATCCTCAGATCTCAGCCTCCTCAGTAGCTAGGATTACAGGTGTGAGCCACCAGCGCCCGGCATGGTTTAGCGATTTTCAAACAGCACAAAATTATGTAGGTATTTTTGTTTTGTTTGCAGTATTATGGATGTAACTCAGGATCTTATACATATTAGACAAATGCTCTACTACTGAGCTGCATCCTCAGCCCAAATTATGTGATATTTAATCATTGTTTCTGAGCCAGGCAGGGTCGGGCATACCTATAACTCATGCACTCGGGAGGTTGAAGCAGGCAGATTGAAAGTTAAGCACTAGCCTGGGCTACACATTGAATTTTTTTTTTTTTTGGTCGGTCATGGGGCTTGAACTCTGGGCCTGGGTGCTGTCCCTCAGCTCTTCAGCTCAAGGCGAGCGCTCTACCACTTGAGCTACAGCTCCACTTCTGGTTTTCTGGTGGTTTATTGGAGATAGAAGTCTCACGGTCTCTCCTGCCCGGGCTGGCTTTGAACCGCGATCCTCAGATCTCAGCCTCCTGAGTAGCTAGGATTACAGGCGTGAGCCACCAGCACCCGGATACACATTGAATTTTAAGTCAACATAGACTAATGAAACAAAAATTGCTGGGGGCTGGGAAGGTGGCTCAGTGGTAGAGGGCTTGCCTCGTGTGCATGAGGCCCTGGGTTCAATTCCTCAGCACCACATAAGCAGAAAAAGCCAGAAGTGGCGCTGTGGCTCAAGTGGTAGAATGCTAGCCTTGAGCTGAGGATTTGAGGGACAGCGCCCAGGCCCAGAGTTCAGGCCCCATGACCGACAAAAAAATAAAAATTAAAAAAAAAAAAATTGCCAATCACAAAATCATTTGGATACTGCTGGCTCCCAAGTGTAGAAGAAGGCTAAACCACCTGTGGCTTGACTTCCTCCATTTCTCCTTCCCTTTTTCCAATGAATCATCCATGAAGTGAGGGAACCCGCTGAGCAAAAGCAGCATCTCAACAAGAAACGGACTGCTGCAGCGGGCAGACTGCCTGCGCTCCCGATGCGATGCTCTCTACGGCCACGGCCATGAAGTCTCCCTCGTGCCAGGATGGTGACACCACGAGCTGGCAGCCCTGCTGCCCTGCCGGAGCAGGGGGGCAGCAACGCCTCCCAGGCCAGCCAGGCAAGCAGGCAGGGGCCAGGGGAACCCAGATCCACTGCCTGCCCCAGTCCAAAGGCCCTGAGTTCAAGCCCCAGGACCCACAAAAAAAACAAAAACAAAAATGCTCCACCCTTAGCACAGGGGCCTGGGCTATTCTACCTGCAGATGACCTAAAACTGTAAAGTAACTTGAAAAATGGCTGCTGTTAATAACCAACTATCTGCATGACTCAACATTTCTTATTGTGTGCAGCCAAAATAAAAAATAAAAATTTTGGCTGGGTGCTTGTGGCTCATGGCTATAAAACAAAATACGCAGGTACCTGTAATCTTAGCTACTCAGGAGGCTGAGATCTGAGGATCACAATTCAAAGCCAGCCCAGACAGACAAATCTGTGAGACTTTTATCTCCAATTAAACCTAAAGGTCTAGAAGTGGAGCTGTGGCTCAAGTGGTAAAGCACTAGCCTCGAGCAGAAAAGTCCAGGGACAGCACCTAAGGCCTGAGTTCAAACGCTAGACACACACACACACACACACACACACACACACACACACACAAATAACTTTTTTAAACAGATGGTGCGCTTTAATAGCTACTAAGTCTTTATGGATGACTGGCAGGTTTTATTTTAGGGAATTAAATCTGTTTCAGAAAGCACCATTGGGGAATATTTCTCTGCTAAGTTAACAGCCTTAAATGAACACAAAACCTACAAACCCCAAAGGGGCTAGGGCACAGACATGCAGAGGAAGTGCTGCTGAGTCTTGCCGTCCCACAGGAAGCAGAGAGGCTACGTAAGGAGGGGGCTGAGCTCTGCTGACGTGCTCTGAGCTGAGGAGCTAGGACGGATGACTTCAGACAAGGCAGGTGTAGAGGTGGAGTAGAGGAGGCACAGCACAGCACAGGGGGAAGTTTAAGTCTGCATAAACAGGGGGGTGTGGATGCCACTTCCTTCAGAAGCTCTCTTAACTGGCCATGGCTGCCCACCCTCACCTGCCCTGTCACCACCTGTATCAGAGAATAGCACTGAGTATCAGAGAGGAGAGCGTAGTCCATCATGTATGAACGTGGCCGCAGATGGGACATAGGCCTGAGGTAGCATGTGCCTCAAAAATCAAAGCAGGGGCTGGGAAGGTGGCTCAGTGGCAGAGCGCTTGCCTTGCATGCCCGAGGCCCTGGGTTCAATTCCTCAGCACCACATAAGCAAAAAGAAGAAAGCCGGAAGTGGCACTGTGGCTCAAGTAGTAGAGAGCTAGCCTTGAGCTGAAGAGCTGAGGGACAGCGCCCAGGCCCAGAGTTCAAGCCCCACGACCGGACCCCCCCCCCCCCCCAAAAAGAGTCAAAGCACCAAAGAAAGGTCTGCCTTATACCTGTAGACAGGTCCCAATACCCCAACAGTGCCCTACATGGCCAAATAGCCTTGGGTACGACTACATGGAAGCCACTAGAAACAGCAGGTGTGTAAGCATGGCTTACACTAAGTATACAAAATTGTAGTGAGCTATGATTATAACTGTACTAAAAAATAAGATACAATGAAGTCCTGGTGGCTCATGACTAAATCCTAGCCACTGAGGAAGTTGAGATCTGACGATCTAGGTTTCAAGCCAGCTTAGGCAGGTAAATCTGAGATACTTACCTCCAATTAACCAGCAGAAAACAGGAAGTGGAGGTTGGCTCAAGTAGAGCACCAACTCTGAGTGGAAAAAGCCAAGCAAAAGCACAGACACGTTGAGTTCAGCACACACACAAAGATGAACTAACACAGCCTCGGCATGGATAACACTTGCCTAAAGTGTGTAAGGTCAAATCCCCAGTGCCCAAAATGAACTAATATGTGTAAGCATAATTTTCAAAACAAAAAAAAAATTTCCTTGTGAGAGAAGATAGGCATGGATAAGTCAAAGAAAGATGGCTCAAAAAACAGGAAAGCCCACTCTGGCCTTGTATTTCTAACTCCAAAATGGAGAAAACACACTTGCTGTTTAAACCTTCCAAAATCAAAGAAGAAAAAAAAGACAAGGATTTTAAAAGAAATGAAACAGAGAAGCATGATCTGTTGTTTCCCAATAAGTAACAGTCCCATCCATGCCTAGTGCCCCCAAAAGACAAGCCCACTGGCACTGTTACGTACTCTTGGCTTCTCAACGCCACGGTCCTGGCACAACTGAGACAAGCACGGTCCCCCAGACTACCTACGACAAAAACAAAACACATTAAACAAATACTTCTCAAACAGGTGTTTTGGAAAGTCTTGGAGAATTGGGGCCTCTTTCATAGAAACCCTCCATATAAGTTTCTGGAATCCTCACTGACTGTTTCAGTGCCAAGCCCAGCGAGGAGATGAGGTCTGGAGGTGCTGGGTGGCCTGGTCAAGGCCTGTAGGATCTCCCAGCATCCCTCCTCCCCACACCATCAGTTGGCTTGGTGAAGCAGAGGCGAACAGCTACATGGCTCCTAAAGAGTGGACAGCCCTTCACAGCAAGCAGCAATTCAAGGGGCATGGACTGAAAATAAACGCCAAGGGCACCTCCTATTTCCAACAGAAGCATCAACTTAGCTCACTTGCATCACCCACAAGCTGTTGTGTGCTGCTGGCAGGGGCACGTGGGTGTGGGCGTGGGCGGGCGTGGGGCAGCAGACCAGACAGAGCCATCACCCCTGGCAGGGCAGGGGTCGGGCTGGCCAGTGCAGAAGCCAGCAGGGTGGCAGGGATGCCATTTCACCCCAACCCCTCAGGCAATGGGGGCAACACCAAGGATGTGGCAGACATCGCTGGCCACTGCATTGTTAGCAGGAGGCAGCTCTCAGGCAGCCACAAGGGAGGACCTTGCAGCGCTGGGGCAGGCTAGTCAAACTACCATTCAAATTTATAAGGGAAGTATGTTAGCTACATTCTTACCTATATCAAGTGTTACACTTTAAATTAAATGTAAAAAGAAACGGAGCAGGGAGCTCACCAAGCTTTCTACTCTTCTAGCTCCATGCAGGGTCAGTATTCCTCCCTGCCCCAGCCCTGCCCTTCTGGGACCTGGATCACCCAAAGCAGGCAGCCAGGGAGGACCTCATCTACCCATCTGTTCCACCAGCTTCCTCGGTACGTTTCCCCCAAACCTACAGAACCGTCCAGCTCTCCAGAGGAACCCTGGGTCAGAGCCACGCAGGGTGAGGGGCTCCAGAGCTGCAGTCTGGTCTGCACTCTAGGCTACCTTCACTTCTATGGGGTTCCAATTTTGGAGTTCCCATAAGCCTTTTCCCTTTTTTTTTTGCCGGTCCAGTGGCTCAAATGCTCTCCCTGAGCTCCTCTCTTTTGCTCAAGATGAGCGTTCCACCACTTGGTAGAACCACTTGGGCTACTGCACGACTTTCAGCTTTCTATGTGATTAATGGGAGATAAAAATCTCAGAAGCCTGTGATCCCAGCTACTCAGGAGGCTGAGATCTGAAGATTGGGGTACAAAGCCAGCCCGGGCAGGAAAGTCTGTGAGACTCTGATCTTGAATTAAATACCAGAAAACCGGCAGGGGCCCTGTGGCTCAAAGTGGTAGAGCACTAGCCTTCAGCAAAAGAGCTCAGGAACAGCGCCCAGGCCCCAAGTTCAAGCCCAACGTCCAACCTAAAAAAAGTCTCGCAGACTTTCCTGTCCGGGCTGGCTTCAGCCCATGATCTCCAGATCTCAGCCTCCTGAGTAGCCAGGTAGACAGGCCTGAGCCGCTTGTAGGTGGCATCCTTTTGATCATTTGCCAAAACCACTCACAGAAATCAGGAAAGCGCTCAGCCCATCGCCCGGGGGCGGCGAACCGAGCCCCCGGCCCCACCCCGCGGCAGCGGCCTGGGGAGCGGGTCGGTTCTCGCTCGGGGCCTCACTCGCGAGCGGCAGCCGGCGGGCGACTCGGAAGGCCGCGACCTCCTCTCTCCATGGAACCGCGGTGCTCAGGAAAAGCCACAGGCGGCGCCCAGGCCGCGAGTTCAAGCCCCGGGGCCGGCGAAAAGCCGTCATTTCCGGGCCGCAAAGCAGGAGCGGCGGCAGCGCGGCCGCCCCGGAGCCCCGCGGGCCGCCCCGGCCCGTGTCTGACTCCCGCGCGGGGGCCCCGGGGCGGCGCGAGGGCCAAAGGGCGCGCCGGTGCCCGGGCCCCGCCCGCCCGAGCCTCGGTCGAGGCGGTGACCCGCGGTGACTGGGGCGCCTAAGGTCACCGCGCGGGACGGGCGCGCCGGGGCGGGGGCGACACGCGGGGAGCCGCGAGCGGACGGGCCGAGGGGGACCGCCACGGGGCCGGCCGTGCGGAGGGACGATCGCGGGGCGACGCAGCGCGGCAGATGGCCAGTGTCCCCCTCGAGCGCGCCTCCGCGCCCCCGGCCCCGGCCCGGCCCCGCCGGCCCCGGCCGGCCCCGCCGGTGCTTACCCCACGGAGCGGCAGCGCCGGGCAGCGGCAGGCGGACGGGCCCCCGGCCGCGGCAGCTCCGGAACAAGATGGACGCCATGCGCCAGCCGCGGCGCCCGCCCGCTCCTCAGCGGCGGTCGGGGCTCTCGCCGTCCCGGCGGCGCCTGCACCCGGACTGCGCGGACCCCTGGCCGCAGCGGTTGGCTCACGTCAGCGGGCGCTCAACTCAAGGACCCGGCGCTGGCGGCGGCCATATCCCGGCACAGACGTCCGGAGGCGCGGGGCGGGGCGGGGCGGGGCGGCGCGGGGCGGACCGGCCGCCGCTCCCATTGGCCCCGCGGACGCCCGCGGCCGACAGGTGAGGGGCGGGCCTGCGCCACCGACTACCGGTCCCGGCGTGCACTCGGCCGCCTAGCCTCACGCTGCGCAGACTACAGTTCCCAGGGTGCACCGGGCGCTCCGTCCTTAGCGCGCAGACTACAGTTCCCGGCGTGCATCGGGAGTCCCGTCCTCAGGGCGCGCAGACCACCGATCCCGGCGTGCACCGGGTGGCGAGCACCGGAAAGGACTGCGGGCCGTCTGGAGGACTACGGGTCCCAGCGTGCACCGGGGCGAGCACTGCGGGCCTCGGCGCGCACCCGGTGGCCTACGTGAGTCTCGTCCTGTGCTGCGCGTGCGCGGTGCCCCCTCCTGCGTCCGGGCTGCAGCGCCGGCGGCTGCGGGCGGCCTGAGCTCTCGTCCGGGGCCGGCCCTGCCCCACACGTGGCGAGGATCCGACACGGAGGGCCCGCCGGGCGCCGGACACCCTCCGCCCGCGGCGCGGGGCACGGCCGCGGAGGCCCGTCCGGGCGGGACGCTGCGTTGGTGGCGTCTCACCCCGCACGCTGCTCCGCCCGCCCCAGTGGACGGTCACCGGGGCCCCCGGGACAGTGGGGCTGGGCCGGGCGTCGGCGTCCTCAACCCGCCCTCTCCCCGCGCGCCCGGCCGAAGCCTGCCCTCGGCCCCCCGACTCCAGCCCTGCCATCCGGAAGGGAAAAACAGGGCAGCCTGTGCTCTCTGACCCCGCCATCTGGATGTGTAAGGACTGCGGGACCTGCCCCGCACCCTGCGTTCGGGGCCTACAACCTAGCCCCACGCGCCGAGCGCTTCCCTGGGACTTCATTGCTCCCAGCCCTGGCTGCGTCTACCCTTCCTGCCCTCTTGAGATGTTCGGTGATGAAAACTCGGGGCAGGGCCTTGAACGTGCCTCAGCGGTACAGTGCTTGCCTGGCATGCGTGAAGCCCTGGGTTCAATTCCTCAGTACCGCATACACAGAAAAAGCCAGAAACGGCGCCGTAGCTCAAGTGGTAGAGTGCTATCGCCTTAGTAAAAGGCCCCGAGTTCAACCCCAAGAAAGACACACAACCCTCAGGGCATCCTGTGTGAGTCTTTTGTGCACACTCAGAATCTATGCTCTTTGGGTGCACACAAAAGAACTACTCCTAGCTTTCAGAAGGTGTTTAACAGCATGTCCCAAGAAGGCTTCTTCCTCTCCCCAGCACAGCCTATTGGGAAGAAGGAACCACCTGGGCTATTCCTTTTTTCTGGATCAAAGTAGAGAAGCTGAGCCCCGAGGCCTGACAGTGGGAGAGGGTCTTTGAAGATGGTTGGAAGCCCGCCTGTCCACTGAAGAGTGCTCTACATAGACCTCAGGAATCAAGCTAAGAATGCCCAAACCTAGGCCTTTGCTACCCACACATTGTAAAGGAGACCCCCCTTTCCACTTATTCTCCCCAGAGGCAAAAGCTGGAGGAGGAAGGGGAGAATATGAAGAACTAAAACAGTCCGTATCCCTAAATCCAGGATCCTGCCTAAGCCAGAATAGGCAGGTACTAAGAGTTAGAACTGGATTTTTTATTATTATTGTTATTAGAGATGAGTTTCCTACCCAGGCAGACTTTGAACCACCATCCTCAGATCTCAGCCTCCTGAGTAGCTAGGATTACAGGCGTGAGCCACCAGTGCCAGGCAAAACTGGACTTTTTATTTGTAGGACAGGGACATTGACCTTGAGCTTCAGAGGGCCTGCTCAGACTCTGTGAGTTGTATCATCTCCTTTGTGGATATTGTTGATTTTGAGCTTTGCTAGATGGATCTCAAGGACCCTTGCCTCTAATCATTCACACCCAAAATGGGCGCAGTTACTGTGAGGAACCCAAAGATTTTGTGGAAATGGCAGGTTATGGTTTCCAAGGCTTGATCACTAACTACTGCAGCTTCTACCTTGCCTCCAAGTAAGCTAACTGACCTCCTCCCCCTGCTGCAGAGCCCATCCTTAGCCCCAGCCAGATTTTAGGATAACTGTAGCGAGGGTGAGATCTTGTGTGACTAGACCTGCCTAGTTCCAAATTCTTTTTTTTTTTTTTAATTGTGAAAATACCGTATAGAGCAGTTACAATTACATGGGCATACTTCCAAATTCTTGACTAAAGAAACTACATGTGATAATATTTATCGTAGTGTTGAACCCCGTAAGTCTTGGGGGCAATCTGACGTGCAGCAGTGAGCGACAGATACAGGACGTGAGAATGTTTTGCCCCAGAATGCTATCCCATTTCCCCCCAAAAAATGGGTGCTGGTGTTTGAGCCTCCTCCACCCTGGCCAGTCCAGAAGGGTCAGGCAAGTTGCTCTCTGTAAAGTCGATGTGATCTCACCCCTAGGCACGTGTGGTCATTTCTCAGCCAAGGACAGTGGGATGGCTGAGGCTGCCCTTCACAAACTCGCATCCCCTGCACCTTTCCCGCTACCTCACAGTCCTTCAGCTTAGCAACGATCTTTGTTGTTGTTGATCATGGAGCTTGAACTCAGGGCCTGGGTGCTGTCGCTGCACTTTTTTTTTTTTTTTGGGTCCGGTTGTGGGGCTTGAACTCGGCCTGGGTGCTGTCCTTCAGCTCTTCAGCTCAAGGCTAGCGCTCTACCACTTGAACCACAGCGCCACTTCTGGCTTTTTTCTTTTTGCTTATGTGGTGCTGAAGAATCGAACCCAGGGCCTCATGCATGCAAGGCAAGCGCTCTACCACTGAGCCACCTTCCCAGCCCCCCTGCATTTTTTTTGCTTGAGACTAGTACTCTACCACTTTGAGCCACATTGCTACTTCTGTTTTCTGTTTTTGTTTTTTCTGTTGGTTAATTGGAGATAACGGACTTTCCTACTCTGGCTGGGAACTGCAATCCTCAGATCTCAGCCTCCTGAGTCACTGTGATTGCATGCATGAGCCACTGGTGCCTGGCTGGCTTGATTTTTCTTTTTGTTTGTTTGGTTTTTGGTACCAGGGACTAGTGCTGGGATTTTCTTTCAACTCAGGGCCTCATGCATATCATCAGGCAAGCACCCTATGGCTGAGCTACATCCCCAACCCTGCCCTTCAGCTCAGTAAGGGCACAGTCTCCTTGTGCTGTGCTTACAAACAGAATGGGGGGGTGGCAGGGAGTCAAGACTTAATTCAGGGATAACACCACTCTGGACTTCTTACCAGAAAAAAAGGTAGCTCATTTGTTTTGTCTAAGTTACATTGTTACAGCAGGTCAGGGAGAGAGTGCAGCAACAGCCAGTGGCAGATGCCTCCATATTTGCCATTTAGAGTCTTCAGTGTACAAAAGTATGTGGAAAGTAGATGAACTCTGAATCACCAAATAGTAAAGAACCAGACTTGTTATCTTAGTGCCCATCCCCAACCCCGACCTGGGCTGGTAAGCAAACGCAGGGGCTTGCACATGCTAGGCAAGCAGACTTTCAATTTAGCAACCTCTGAACTTTTTTTCTTTTCTTTTTTTGCAGGTCCTAAAGCTTGAACTCAGGACCTGAGCACTGTCCCTGAGCATCTTTTGCACAGGATTAGTGCCTCTACCATTTCAGCTACAGCTCCATTTCCAGCTTTTTGGTGGTTTATTGGAGATGAGTCTTTTTTTTTTTGGGTCCGGTTGTGGGGCCTGAACTCTGGGCCTGGGCACTGACCCTGAGCTTCTTTTTGCTCAAGGCTAGTGCTCTACCACTTGAGCCACACCACCACCTTTTTTCTGTTTATATGGTACTGAGGAATTGAACCCAGGGCTTCATACATGCTAGGCAAGCACTCTACCACTAAGCCACCTTCCCAGCCTCAGCCTCTGAAGTAGCTAGGATTGGGGGGTGGGGGCGGCACTGGCACCCAACTTAGTTTTAATAAAGCCATCTAAGTTTAAACAAGGCCACCTTGGTGTTTCTCGCTTTTATAATTGGAGCTATTCAGAAGGCTGAGGTCTGAGGATCATGGTTTGGAGCTAGTCCTATAGACAAATCCTTGAGACCTATCTCCAATTTACCAGCAGAGAGCTCAAAAACTGGAGGCATAGCTCAAATGGTAGAGTACCAGTCCTAAACAGAAAATGCCCAATGATAGAAGAGGCCCTGAGTTCAAGCCCCAGTAACTGCACAAAACAAAAAGCCAGGGCACAGGGCTGGGAAGGTGGCTCAGTGGTAGAGCGCTTGCCTTGCATGCTCGAGGCCCTGGGTTCGATTCCTCAGCACCACATAAGCAGAAAAAGCCAGAAGTGGTGCTGTGGCTCCAGTGGTAGAGCGCTAGCCTTGAGCTGAAGAGCTGAGGGATAGTGCCCAGGCCCAGAGTTCAGGCCCATGACTAACAAAAAATAAAATAAAAATAAAGTAAAAATGGAAAAAGAGCCATGTGCTGGTGGCTCACGCCTGTAATCCTAGCTCAGGAGACTGAGATCTGAGGAGTGCTGTTGGAAGCTGGAAGCTAGCCTCAGCAGGAAAGTCCATGGGGCTCTTACGTCCAATAAACCACTCAGAAAAAGCCACAAGTGGTGCTGTGGCTCAAGTGGTAGAGCAATAGTTTTGAGCAAAAATGCCAATTGAGATCCTGAGGCTCTGGGTTCAGGCCCTTGTAACCAGCATGTGTGTACATGCACACCTCACTGCAGGATAGGGGGGCCTGGGAGGTTGACCCAGGCTGGAAGCTCTTCTTCTCTGGTCAGCCTCTCACTCAGGCGCCAAACTGGTCACCAGTTAAGAAAATCAGTGGGCCCCAAATCTGGGATTAGGAAGCACTTTTCTCCATTCTGCTGGTGTGGAATTTAATTTCTTGCCACTTTATAATTTAAAAAAAGTGCTACTTCAGCACATGTTTCTTTAGCCAAAGCCCTAGTGCGTGGTGGGCCTGGAGCCCTGCCCTGGGTGGTCCCTAAAGCTGAGGCTGTCCAGGCCCACAGCAGAGGCTAGGAGGTTGGGGCAGCAAAGTAGCTCAGCCTCCTCCTTTTCCCTTTGAGGCTGGGGCTCCCAGAGCTGTAAAAATCAAGCAGCTGTTGGGCTTGGAGTGCTGGGACCAGTAAACATTTGTATGCATATTGATGTTTACTGTAGAGCTGGCCAGAACAGACCCACTTCTCCCAGGAGGGCTGGAACTCGGACTGGCCCTCATTCCCCAAACTAGGCAGGACCAATGCCCACCTCAGTGCTCCAGGATCTGAGGGGGGGGGGGGGGGCAGGATCTGAGAGGTAGGGCCAGAGCAGGGTGAGCTGAACTGACCTCTGCAGGCTCTCTAGTCCCCCCAGCAGATATCCTCAGGTTTTGCTGTGGGCTTCTTTTATTTTTTGCCAGGTTTTTTTTGTTGTTGTTGTTGTTGGTTGTGGGGCCTGAACTCTGGGCTTGGGCGCTGTCCCTCAGCTCTTTAGCTCAAGGCTAGCGCTCTGCCACTTGAGCCACAGCTCCACTTCCACCTTTTTCTGCTTATGTGGTGCTGAGGAATCAAACCCAGGGCCTCATGCATGCAAGGCAAGTGCTTTACCACTGAGCCACCTTCCCAGCCCCTTTTGCCAGTTTTGAGCTTGAACTCAGGACCTGGGCTCTGTCCCTGAGCTTCTCTGTGCTCAAGGCTATTCTCTGTGCTCAAGGCTAGTGCTCTGCCACTTGAGCCACAGCTTCACTTCTGGCTTTTTCTGTGTATGTGGTACTGAGGAATCGAACCCCAGGGCTTCATGCATGTGAGGCAAGCACTCTGCCACTAAGTCACATGCCCAGCCCCATGGGCTTCTCTTTATTGAGCTCTCCTGGCCCTGCCCAGCCCAACCCCTGCTGGCCCAGCTCGGGCTCCCACTGCTGATGCCTTCTCAGGGGTGTTCTGGAGGCTGTGTTGGGGACACAGGCTTCTTCCCCCTAGCGGGGGGGGGGGGGGGGCAGGCAGGGGAGAGTCTGTCTGGGCAGGTGTGCTCCTTCCTTCCTGATTGTTCTGGGAAATGGGCATGGCACTATTATTGGACCTTTTTTTTTTTGTCGGTTGTGGAGCTTGAACTCTGGGCTTGGGCCCTGTCCTTGTGCTCTTCAGCTCAAGGCGAGCTCTCTACCGCTTGAGCCACAGCACCACTTCTGGTTTTCTAGTGGTTTATTGGAGATAAAGTCTCCCAGGGGCTGGAGAGGTGGCTCAATGGTAGAGTGCTTGCTTTGCATGCCTGAGGCCCTGGGTTCAATTCCTCAGTACCACATAAGCAAAAAGAAAAAAAGCCGTAAGTGGTGCTGTGGCTCAAGTGGTAGAGCGCTAGCCTTGAGCTGAAGGGCTGAGGGACAGCGCCTAGGCCCCGGGTTCAGGCCCCATGACCCCCCCCCCAAAAAAAAAAAAAAAAAAGCTCAGGGACAGTACCAGGTCTTGAATTCAAGCCTCACAACTGACCAAAAACAAAAACAGAACAAAACAACAAAAAAAAGGAGTCTCCCAGACTTTCCTGCTAGGGCTGGCTTTGAACCTTGATCCTCAGAGCTCAGCCTCCTGAGTAGCTAGGATGACAGGCATGAGCCAGTGGCACCCAGCTTATTGTACCCATTTTACAGAGTACTAACAACTCGCTTCACCAGGAGATTGAATTGTGTCTCCTAACATACTTTCCAGTCCTAGCCCTGTGGATGCGACCTTGTTTGGAAATAGGATCTTTCCACATGTCACCAGGGTGAGATGAGGTCACTGAGGGGCCCTGGCCAGTGCTCATAGGGAGTGCAGACCTGGAGAGACACACGGCACACATCCACTTGATGGTGGAGGTGGAGAGAAGAGAGATGCCAGCCAAAGATTGCTGGCAGCCATGGGACGCTTGGAAGAGGAAAAGGATGGGGTTCTTCCCAGAGCTGCTGCATCCTCGCAGTGTTAGCTTCAAGGACACCCTGTTTGGGTGGCTAAGCAACCCGTAAGAGGGGGAATGAGGTCTTGAAGACTGATGGTCCAACTCCAGAGGTAGTATTGCTACTTGGGGCTGAGATCCGGCCTACCCTGGGAAGTGCTCGCACAGCTAAGACCTGGGGGAAGGGAAGAGAAGGTCAGTTTGGTTCCACAGGTGACTCCAGTCAAGGGCTCCCTAAACTTGAGGCTGTGCTGGCTTGGGGGCCTCCCTGGCAAGCAACCTTGGGGAGGATGGGTCTGAACACTGCCCCTGTGATCTGGCTTGTTCTAGGATGGGCACTTCATGCTGCTTAGCCAAGACTTGGAGGTGAGGGGGTTCTTTAACCAGACTTAAGTCCTGCCTCCATCTCCTCTGCCGAGTAGGCACTCTTCTCAGGGAGGCTGGCTTCTAGGTCCTGGCAAAGCTTTTGGGATAGCTGCTCCAAGGGCTCTGTCTGGCCAGGACATAGTTCAAAACCCAGCCTAGGGGACAGCCTTGCTTTCGGTGGGGAGAGCAGAGTGGTCAGGGCAGGAGGAGGGCTTTCTTGTCCTCTGCCTGGTATCTCCTCTCCCTTCCTTAGAGATGGGACCACCTGGGGCCCAGGAAAAGGGGCAGCCTGGGCCCTCAGTTTCCACTTGGAAGCCCTCTTTATCTGGCCTGGGATGGAGAAAGACTGGGGTCAGAGTGCACACATCCCCATGGAAACAGCAATAAGCCTGGCCCCTGGGGATCCCCAGCCCTGGTGGGGGATGGGGAGACCAACCAGGGTCTCAGGAGCTCTTTGGCTAAGGGGTCTGGGCCTTACTTTTGTCAACAGCTCTTATAAGATAGCCAAGAAATTCTGAGGAGTGGGGAAGTGAGGGGCCTTCAGTGAGGGTGGACAGCCGACTGTACCTCCCCTAAAGTTGTAGACATAGTAGGTAGGTACAGAGTGCAAGCATCCAGTGCAGAGGCCCAGAGAAGAGAAACCCCCCACCTTGTTTTTTTTTTTTGGGGTCTGGTCGTGGGGCCTGAACTCAGCCTGGGCGCTGTCCCTCAGCTCTTCAGTTCAAGGCTAGCACTCTTACCACTTGAGCCACAGTGCCACTTCCGGATTTTTTCTTTTTGCTTATGTGGTGCTGAGGAATCAAACCCAGGGCCTCAGACATGCACTGAGCCACCTTCCCAGCTCCCCCCCCCAACCTTTTTTTAAGTGCTAGGCAAAACCTCTAACTTCATGAGCCTTGCTCCAACCTTTTTTTTTTTGTCGGTTGTGGGGCTTGAACCTGGGCTTGGGCACTGTCCCTGCATTCTTCAGCTCAAGGTGAGCACTCTACCGCTTGAGCTACAGCGCCACTTCCGGTTTTCAAGTGGTTTATTGGAGATAAGAGACTCACAAGACTTTCCGGCCTGGGCTGGCTTTGAACTGTGATCCTCAGATCTCAGACTCCTGAGTAGCTAGGATGACAGGCGTGAGCCACTGGTGCCCCGCTGGTTTTGTATTTTTTGAGATAGGGTCTGGCTAACCTTGCTTTGAACACTGGATCCTTGATCTTCCACCTCCCAAGTATTTGAGATGACAGGCCTGCCCCACTATGAAAGCCTTGAGAAAAATCAAAACAAGCCTTTGCCAGGCTGCTACTGTCCCAAGTGCCCTGCCCAACTCGGGGCCCAACCAGGGCAGTCTGGAGCTTCTCCACGCAGAGGCTCTCTGGCCTGCAGGAGGCTTTCTCTTGTTAGCCTGCAATGCCTGTGGTACTGTCCAGGCCCTCAGAACTTAAGACTGCCTACCTGTGTGCCCAAAGAGGAACCATGTGGGACGGAGGCATTTCTTTTTTTTTTTTGGGTCCGGTCGTGGGGCCTGAACTCTGGGCCTGGGCGCTGTCCCTCAGCTCTTCAGCTCAAGGCTAGCACTCTACCACTTGAGCCACAGCACCACTTCCGGCTTTTTTCTTTTTGCTTATGTGGTGCCGAGGAATCGAACCCAGGGCCTCATGCATGCAAGGCAAGCGCTCTACCACTGAGCCACTTTCCCAGCCCCCAGAGGCATTTCTTGAGGCTGCGTAGCACCTGGTATGGGCACTTTCCTTTCTGCCCTGCTTGGGCCAGGGCATGCTGGGCTCAGCAGCCCAGAGGAACTGGAGGGGACCGGAGGAAGGCTAAAGCTAGGCATGAAAAGACCAGCTAGCCTCAAATGTCTTCCTTCAAGAAAAGCCAAACATACACTTGCATGTTTTGAATAAATTTGCATGTTGATGGCACTACTCTAAATGCAGATTTTTTAGGGAAATATGTCTCTACTTTCCACTCTGTGAAATCAAATATGGTGGTATTCCACATGAGCTGTGGGGACTTAGAAAGTGTTGAGGAAGCAGACAGCTTTCAGGCAGTACCCCAAAGGGAAGGGACAGAAAGATCCAGGGCCAAGGCAGGTCACTTTTTTTTTTTTGTCAGTCGTGGGGCCTGAACTCTGGGCCTGGGCACTGTCCCTCAGCTCAAAGCTAGCACTCTACCACCTGAGCCACAGGGCCACGTCCGGCTTTTTCTGACTATGTGGTGCTCAGGAATGGAATCCAGGGCCTCATGCAGGCAAAGCAAGCACTTTACCACTGAGCCACCTTCCCAGCCCAGGTCACCTATTCTTCAACCTCAGCTGGAGAGGCTTGGTCAGCGCCCGGCTGTACCGCTTCCAGGAGCCCTTTGTGGCCCAAGTCCTGGTGGTGAACACTGTGTTGAAGGGCATCTCTTCCGGTCACCGCGGGCCCCTGCACCCACACTGCATTCGGATGAGACCACTGGAAGGTCTGGTGGGACCCTCGCCCGAGGGAGGCCAGTTCCTGCTGCAGTGGGAAACAAATGGAGCTCGTGGGAGAGCAGTGGGGAGGGAGTCTGACCCTGCTGGACTGGCCCCCCCTGCCCTGGGGTCCTGGCCCCAAACCCTTGGCTCTCTGCCCCTCCTCGCCGGTTCCGCTTGCTTTCCCGGTGCCCTGCCCCTCACGTCTCCCAGAGCCCGGGAGGGTGGGCGCGGCCGAGGGTCCGGGGAGGCGAGGCTGGCCCACCAGGCCGGGCTAGTGCGGCCGGGAGCGGGAGGGTCCCGGCCCCCGGCTGCACGGCGGCTGTGGGTGGCCGGTGACTTCCCGCGGCGCGGGATCCTGCGATGCCCGCACTTCCGGGTGCCGGGAGCGCAGAGCCCCGACCAACGGCCGCCCGCAGGGCACGGCTCCCGGAACTCGGTCGGCTCGAGCCCCCGGCAGCCCCGAGCCCCCGGCAGCCCCGAGCCGGGTACGGACACCTGTGGAGCTCGCCAGGCGGGCCACGGCGGGGAGGGCGCCGCCGAGGGAGGCCGGGCTGCGACCCTGACCGGGCGCGGGCCCTCCCCCCGCCGCGCTCCCGCTCCCCGGCCCCACTCCCCGGGAGGCGCGCGGGGCGGGGCGGGGCCGCGGGACTCCGCCGGGGCCACGGCGTGTGGCGGACGACGGCCGGCCCGCGGTTCTCCCCGCGCCCGGCGCCTTCCTCTGACAAGTGCGAGGCCGGGCCGGGGCTTGACAGGCGGGCGTCCCGGGCGCCGCGGGGTCCGCGCGCCCCGCAGACGCCTCGGGCGCCCGGCCGGGCCGGCGGCGCCAGCGGTGCGGGCTGCGGCTCGCGGCTCCCGCCGCCGGCGGCCGGCGCTCCGGGCCCGGCGGTTGGGCGTGGCCGCCACCTCCCGCGCTCCGCGTCCGCTCGAGGCCCGGCGCCCGCGTCCGCGCCCACGCCGGGCTCCGGGGCCGCGCGCGGCGATTGGGCGGCGAGCGTGACGTCACCGCGCCGGGGCTCGCCGCAGTCGCGGAGCCGGCCGTCGCCCGCGCGCCGGGCGAGGAGCGGGAGCCGGAGAGGAGCGGGCTGGCGCGCGCCCGGCGCCCCCACCCGCGCTCGGGCCCGCCGTCCGCCCCGCGCGCCCCGCCGCCCGCCGCTTGCCGCCCGCCGCCCGCCGCGCGCGGCCTCGGCGCGGATTTGAAAAGCCCGGTCCGCGGGCGCCGTGAGGCGGCAGCCAATCAGCGGCGCGCACTTTTCCCGCGGCTTCTGGGGGCGGCGGCGGCCCCGGCGGCGGCGGCGGCGGGCGGGAGGCGCGGGGGCGGGGTCGGCGCCGCGCGCGGAGAGCCTCGGCCTGGCCGCGCTGCGCCCGCCGCCGCCGCCGCCGCCGCCGCCCCCTCCCGCGGCCCTGCCCTCCGCGGCCTCGCGCCCGCCGCCGCCGGACAGCCGCCACCGGACAGCCGGGCCGAGGATGCGACGCAGCGCAGGTCACTGGGGCCGCCCGCCGGCCGCCGCGGGTGCCCGCCGCCGGGCGGGGACGGGAGGCCGGGAGGTCGGGGACGCGAGGCCTGCGGGCCCGAGGGGGCGGCGGGAGGAGCGGGGCGCCCCGCCCGGGCGGGGGGGGGGGCAGCGCCGGGAGCGGGGAGACCCGGGGAGGACGCGCGGTCCGCGGCGTCGGCGGAGGGCCGGAGGCCGGGAGGACGCGGCCCGCGGCGCCGGCGGACGCGGAGGGCCGGCGGCGGCTAACGGGGCGGCGGGCGCGCGGCCATGTTGGGCCAGCGGGCCGGGGCTGCACCTGTGCGGGGCCGGCGGCCTCCGCCTTTGTTCCCGCGGCGCGGGGCCGGCCGGGCGGGCCTTTGTGCGGCGCGGGGCGCCGGGCCCGGGGCGCGGTGGGAGGGGCGGGCGGCCGGGCCGGCGGCCGCCGAGCGGCGCTTTTTGTGTGCGGCGGCGCCGGGCGCTGACACTCGCGGCTCGGCCGTTGGTCAGCGCGGCGCGCCCCCGCCGGGCGCGCGGGGCCGGCCGGGCAGGTGGAGGCGCGGCGGGCCGGGCCCGCGGTCCGCCCGGCCGGCGTGGCGCCGCGCCCCGGGCCGCCGCCGCCGCCGCCCGGCCGAGCTCGCCCCGCGCGCCGGAGCCCGGCCTGGAGCCCCGGCGCCTCCCGAGGCTGGCCTTGAGTTAGGGCGAAAAGCAAACGGACGAGGCCCGGCCCCGCGCCCGGCTCGAGAGCCCGTCCGCGCCGGTCCTGCGCGAGAGCCGCGCTCGGGGGGACGTCGGGGCGCCGGCCTCGCCCCGCCTCGCCCGGCCTGCGGCCTTCGCCGAGCGCCCGGTGGCCGCCGCTCCCCTCAGGCACGGCCGGCGAGGCGGTGAGTGTGGAAAGCCAGCGGGGGCCGCGCGGCCCTGAAGCCCGTCACGCGTTCGCGTGTGGCCGAAGGGAGCGAGCGCGGGGCCGTGCGGACCCCGTGCGGACCCCGCGCGGGCCGAGTTGAAGCCTTAGCCGCCTGCTAGCCGTGAAGAGCGCTCGTGCCTTCGACTCGGCTGCTTTTGAGTCATTTCCTTTCCTTTCCTTCCATTTTCTCAGCCGCCCTCCGTTTGGGGCTGAGGGTGGGAGGACTTAGCTGCTGCTGGCCAGTCTGCGTAAGCGTCTGTGCCCTGCATCTGTTCCCAGCAGAGCCCCGTCCTTTCTGCTCTCTGATTACAGTGGTCAGCATTCCCTTCTAAGAGTATCAGATAATGAACTTTGAGACTTCCAAAGGATAACGGACAGTTCTTAGCACAAATGTGATATATTCATGTGTAACATAAACTGGCATGAGGTGTGTGAAGGTCCAGAGAAAATAAGGCAAACTGGCTACAAAGGTTGACTCCTAGGTGTGTTTTTTATTATATTTTATTGGTCGTGGGGCTTGAACTCGGCTTGGGCACAGGTCCCTGAGCTTTTTCACTTAAGGCTAGCACGCCATCACTTTGAGCAACAGCTCCACGTAGGGTTTTTGAAAGGTGGCTAGTTGGAGCTAAGAGTCTCACGAGATTTCCTGCCTGGACCGGCTTTGAATGGCCATCCTCAGATCTCAGCCTTCTGAGTAGCTAGCATTACAAGCACGAGCCACTGAGGGCCCCTGCCCTCCTCATAGGTTTGTTATGAAGCTAGTTCTACAAGGATATCCCAACATGACTTGCTGAATGTGAATAACCAGATAGAAATAAGTCCAAGTTGCAGGAATCGGGAATTAAGAGACTTTGTGGGCTTATTAAAAAAGGTTGTGATGTGCTGTCCTAGAAGTAGTAGTGAGATTTTACAAGGTTTATTCACATGGCAGAATGTGAACTAATTAGTTACTTCCTTTTTTTTACAGTTTTGACAATAAAATGTAAAATGTGAAAGTAGGTAGACTTAGGCATACCAGGAAGTGCTTGTGAGAGGCTAGAAAACACTAATAAGAAGCATACTGTATGAACTGTTACAAATTTCTTCACCAAGTTAGGGACATGTAACTGAGGCTGGGTACTAGAGGCTCACATCTATAATCCCAGGTACTGGAGGCTGAGATCTGAGGAGTGCAGCTCAAAGCTAGTTGAGACTGTTAGCTCCAGTTGACCACTCAAAAATTGGAAGTAGTGCTATGGTTCAAGTGGTAGAGCACAAAGGTTCAGGGACAGTGCACAGGCCCTGAGTTTAAGCCCCACAAATGACCAAAAAATCCCCCCATAAAAACCAGAACTGGCTGTTGCTCAAGTGGTAAAATGCTACCCATGAGCAAAAAAAAAGGTAGTTCTTAGGCCCTGAGTTCAAGCCCTAGTCCCATCTTAAAAAAAAAAAAGTGAATGGAGGATGGATGTGCTTTCAAAATGATGCTGATTATTTTTAGAATAGGTTCTTGATTCCCACCTGAGTCAGGATCAGCCTATTTTTAGGCTTCTCATGGTTGCTGGAATCACAGGTTGTGCTACTGTGTCCCTCTTCCCTCCATGGAGATGAAGTCTCTAAGACTTTTCTGCCCTGGCTGGACTGGCACTGTGATCCTTCCAGTCCTCTTCTCCATGAAGTCTCAAGTGATTGGCGCCCACCACTGCACTTAGCTCTTGGTTGTGAAGTCTTGAGAACTTTGCTGGGTCTGTCTCAAACCTTGATCTTCCCATTTTTGGTCTCCCAAGGAGTTAGGGTTACAAGTGTGAGCCACCAGTCAGTCACCAGTTGAAATAACCCATCTCAGTGCTAGTCTCTGAGTTATTTGTCTTTTTTTTTTTTTTGGTCATGTTAGAGCAGAAAGAGTTCTAGGAACTGAGTATGAAAGGGAAGGAGTCGGGCTAGCACCAGTTCACTTTAACTGAGGAGACAAGTCTAGGTTTCCCTAAGTTAGTTGCTTTTGCTCATCATGCCTTATTGAAATGTTAACTGGAAATTAACCCAGAAACATTTCAACTATATAAGTACAACAGATAATAAGACTATGTGGAACAAGAGTTTTTGTGTATTACATTGTTGATTGATTTATTGTTTTTAGCACTGGACAAGGTAAAAAGGAAAAAAGTATGTAAAGTAGGAAAGCAAGAGATGACACCAAAGCTAGAGAGGATTAGGTTTAAATTTAAGAATTGTCTTTTTGGTGCCCATCCTAGGGCTTGAACTCAGGGTCTCTGCACTTTCCCTAAGCTTTTTTTGCTCAAGGTTACCACTTGAGCCACAGTTCCATTTCGTCTTTTTGTGGTTAATTGGATATAAAAGTCTCATGGAGCTGGGTACCTGTAATCCTAGCTTCTCAGGAGGCTGAGATCTGAGGATCATGGTTCAAAGCCAGCCTGGGCAGGAAAGTCCATGAGACTTATCTCCAATTAACCACCAGAAAACTGGAAGTGGCTCTGTGGTTCAGGTAGTAGAGCGCTGGCCTTGAGCTGAAGAGCTGAGGGACAGGCCCAGGCCCAGAGTTCAAGTCACCACAAGACTGACAACAACAAAAGTCAGTCTCATGGACTTTCCTACTAGGGGCTGGTTTCAAACCTCTGTCCTCAGATCTTAACCTCCTAGGATTATAGATAGGGCCATTGGCATCCTGCTACCAGCTCCCTCTCTCCCCTCCCCCCCAATCTCTCTCCTTTTTTGCCAGACCTGGGCTTGAACTCAGAGCCTGGGCATTGTCTTTTTTTTTTTTTTTTTAATGATGATGAGGTTTATCCTTGAACTTTTTTTTTTTTTTTAAATGATGATGAGGCTTATCCTTGAACTTTTTTTTTTTTTTTTTGTCGGTCGTGGGGCTTGAACTCTGGGCCTGGGCACTGTCCCTCAGCTCTTCAGCTCAAGGCGAGCGCTCTACCACTTGAGCTACAGCGCCACTTCCTATCCTTGAACTTTTATGCTTAAGAGTAACCATCTACCACTTTGAGCCACAGTTCTACCCCCAAGGATTTTTTGTGGCTAATTGGAGATGTGTTAGTTGGTTAATTGGGAGTTTCTTGCCCAGGCTGGCTTCGAACCTTGGTCTTAGATCTCAGTCTCTTGAGTACCTAGGATTGTGGTCATGAGCCACTGATGCCAGGCACAAGCCCTATTGATATGGCTTTATTTCTCTTTTGAGGAATGGTTATTGACAGTGAAGATTGTGGAGAGAAAGATATTAAATGTTGATTTTATTTTATTTTTTTCTTTCAGTCATGAGGCTTGAACTCTGGGCTTGGGCGCTATCCCTCAGCTCTTCAGCTCAAGGTGAGCACTCTACCACTTGAGCCACAGTGCCACTTCTGGTTTCTGGTGGTTAAGTGGAGATAAGAGTCTCACAGACTTGCCTACCCGGGCTGGCTTTGAACTGTGATCCTCAGATCTCAGCCTCCTGAATAGCTAGGATTATAGGTGTGAGCCATCAGTGCCCAGCTTTAAATGTTGATTTTTAAACATTTTTATTTGAATATTTGTTCCAGTATAGCTTTTGAAAGAGTTGATTGATTGGATAAAATTTGGTCTGCTAATCAGAAGTCAAGACAAACCATGCTGGACGTGGTAGTACATATCTGTCATCCCAGAAGATTGAGGTTTGAGGCCATCCACACAAAAAGTTTAGATTTCCTATTTCAACAAATAAGTTGTCTGTGATGATTCATATTGGTAATCCCAACTGCTGAAGAAGAGTATATAGAAGGATCATCTCAGGCAGAAACAAGACCCTAACTGAAAAATAGCTAAAGCAAAAAGGGGTAGTGGCATGGCTCAAGTGGTAGAGTGCCTATCTACCAAGTGGATGCCTGAGTTCAAACCTTTTCATACTGAAAAAAAGAAAATTAAAAAGACCTCAAATTAATTTGGTTTTTGAGTCTGCCTTTCTAAAACCAAAGGACCTCTGTGAGTTGTTTTTTGTTTTTTTTATTTTTATTTTATTTTTTTTATTATTATTTATTTTTTATTGTTTTTTAGGGTGAGGGTTAGGGTGAGGGTTAGGTTTAGGGTGAGCGTTAGGGTTACGGTTAGGGTTTGGGTGAGGGTTAAGGTTAGGGTAGGGTTAGTTTGAGGGCTAGGGTGAGGGTTAGGTTTAGGTTTAGGGATTGGGTGAGGATTATGATTAGGGTTAGGGTTATGGGGAGGGTTAGTCTGAGGTGTATCATTTTTTTTGTTTTTTTGTCTGGTCGTGGAGCCTGAACTCTGGGCCTGGGCGCTGTCCCTCAGCTCTTCAGCTCAAGGCTAGCGCTTTAGCTCTTGAGCCACAGTGCCACTTCGGGCTTTTTTCTCTTTGCTTATGTGGTGCTGAGGAATGGAACCCAGGGCCTCAGGTTTGCAAGGCAAGAGCTCTACCACTGAGCTACCTTCCTAGCCCCACCTCTGTGAGTTTTAAATGTCCATATTTTGAGAGAATATGTAAGGGTAGAAGGGAAGGGCTGAGTGTGTTGGCACACATAATTCCAGCTACTGAGGAGACAGAAAGACTGGAGGAAGATCAGAGTCTTCGGCCAGACCAGGCAAAGCTACCATGAGACATTAAAAGACTGAGAATGTGGCTCTAGTGGCTGGTAGACCACTTGCCTAGAACTAGGTTCCAGTTGTGAGTTCATTCTCCAGTATCTCAAAACTGAAGTGTCAGAGTGGGCTGAGTCATGACCTACAGCTCAGAAACCCGACAATAAGACTCCTTGGTGAGAACATAGAAAACCTTTTTCTTTTTTAAGTTCACTGTGCTGGCATTTAGAGATTCGATAGGAATGGAGTTTAATGCAGTTCCTTTTTGGTTGGCTATTGAGCTTGAACTAAGGGCCTGAGCTTTTTTTTGTGTGTGTGTGTGTGCCAATCCTGGGCTGGAACTTAGGGCCTACACACTGTCCCTGAGCTGCTTTTTGCTCAAGCCTAGCAATCGGTATATCATTTGAGCCACAGCGCCACTTCTGGCTTTTTCTGGTATGTGGTACTGAGGAATTGAACC